AACAATATCAATCCTTAATAGTTTATTAGTGAGACTATTAAGGAAAATACGTTCCAATTTACTCTAAGCATCTGACAAAAACGGCCTTCATCAAATTCTTGAAGAATGGTAGATCTCCATTGAATAAATTTTGGTACGGGTTGGTGATTTCTGTGATGGTTTACTAAAGTAAACAAAAGGTCTTCATTTAATTGCTCCATCACTTCCCAGTAATTTGCATCATCTAACAAATAGAAACTATATAGTAGTGAAAACTACATTAACAACATGTTAATACCTTCAATCAGAATATTAAAAGCACTATTTTCAATAAAAAAATCTATACATTTTTGTATTTCACTTGTTCGCGGCATTGTTATACTTTTATTTTCTTTGCTCAATTTGATACGGCTGCAAAAACAGCTGATTCATTTTGATGATGCAATTCTGCAACAGAGGTGTTCTCGCAGTCTTGCAGTTTTTGTATAGCATTCTTGCATTTCGTGCTCCTTGCAATGAGTTTACAAGAGAGAGTGAATACCCCTAATATATTTAATATATATGCACATAAATCTGAATACAATTTTTTAATAAATATTACTTCTTATATTTCAATAATTTTTACATACCTGCCAGATATGAATGGTATGTTATAACCGAATGTGACAATCACATTTTTCATTAACACAAAATTAATCAATACACAACTATAATTTAAAAGCAATTTTTAATTTCCCATGTTGAAAAAACATGGCTGTGGTGAATATGTCAAACGCAATGTTTTGTTTTATCAATAAAATTGTATTAATAAATTAACTATTAAATATAGCATATTGTATGATAGCGCTGATATGTGGGTTGTTATGCTACTAAATAAGCAAGCAGCAGTCTAATACTTCTACTGCAAAGTCATCAGCGTACTCAGTAGGTTTCAGTACTCCATTATAAATTGCATTCTACAGTGTATTCCCATGATCTTGTGAACCATCGCCAACAACTTTATATTGTTTCGAGTTTTTTTCTGTTCCGATCAGCTAGATCGGGTTGCAGAGATAATTTCGGATTGTGCATAATAGATAATTTGATACTTTCAGATTTTCGATGGAAAATTATATTAAGTCTTGGACCAGTTCACAAAGTGGACAGTGTTTAATATGTCTAACGTAATTAGCGCACAATACTTAATTACAGCGTGTTCACAGAAAGAGCTTTCTGTGATATTTGTACCGATCTACATACTGATACATGCCTTTCAAAAAAGTATTATTCATATTTAAAAGTATTTTTTAAGTATTATTCAATACTTTGTACATATAAGCCCATTTGATCATACCGTACTCTTTAACGCAACACTGGAAACTTTGTTTTACCTTGGAGTGTTATTATCTTTTGTAAGAGCTAATCTTTGCAATATCTTTTTAAATGTCACTGATGTTCATATGTAGAGTTTTCATTCATACAGCAGTTTGTGCCGCTATGGAAGGAGAGAAAAACGTGAGCATTGTCTCCTGCAATAAATTTGCATTATATTGTGTATACGCATCCTCAGGATTTTGCAAATCGGTATATTGCAATTCCGATATCGTTATGATCATAACGGGGTTGTTCGTCATATTGAATGATTCATCGATCTCTTCTGCTACACGTTCAGGTAACTTGATTTGTATAGACGTGGATTTACTTTTGGTCGTTTACTTATGGGGGTAGCCATGACTATCGAGTACGATTCTTAGCTCACTAGATTGTTTCCCCTAGGCCCCCGCTTAGCAAATTTGCTTCGCTGACGAGTGCCTCGTCTTCATGCCCCCCTTAGGACCTTCCTTGACTATTACACCAAGTAGTAGATTAAACCCAATCCCGGCAAGATCTCAACCATTATTCTTCAAGACCCAAAAAGAAATCTTACCGGTGGTTCGACGCCTCTGTCATCAACTAAAGCTTGATAATACCTCCATTCAGCTTGTGACCAAACTAAAATACCTTGGTGTTGTGCTATTCCCCCGGCACAACTTCATCCCTCATGTTGACTATGCCATCCGAGATTCGCGGTTCACAGATACTCAACTAAAAAATGACCTGCTATAAACAGTTCATTCGTCCCTTACTCACATACGCTTTCCATATCTGGGCTGTAGTATATTCCGCCCAGATGGAAAGGATCCGTCTCTTCGAGTCAAGCTCCTTCGAAATCGCATCAATTACAAGCGCAAACCTGACGGCAAGCACTTTTCCAACTACGTCCTTCTGGACTTTGCTAAAATTATTCGCATCGACGAGAACCTCCTCTCGGTTGCCCAATGATGCCTCTCCCGACTCCCACCTGATATCTCAGCTCTCAACACCTTCCCTGCGGACTTCGTTCAGGCCTCACGCCCCAAACTCCGCAATACCTATCCCATTACCTCGATGAGTGGGACTCTGATCCCTCTATTATCCACATCTCTCTTCTCTTCAAGCGTGTCATGTAAGGTTACATCAGCTTTATAGGGTCAAACTGACATCGATTAGCAATTAGTGAAATTATTGCAATTTTTCAAAAAGTTCCTCAGCATAGACATATTGTTTAATTGCAATAAAAGAAGAGCATAGTTATGTTTTTGCTTCTCTTTTTTTGTTGTTGTTTTTGTTTTTCTTAGTTTTATGATTATCTTATAAACAAACCTTTTACGCACTATTCATATTTGACACAAACCAATTAGTGATTGAGTGCAAAATTTAAAAAATATGTGTACTTTTGATTATATCATAGTATACTTTTAGGGCAAAAGAAATGTAAAGCTATGTTTTAGTGACAATGAATTAGTATTCTTAAAAATCTTCAACAATTTATTGCAGTTAATGGTATAGTGTGAACGAGCTATTAGAAAGAAGCATTGCTCTTGAGCATTGCGTACGTGCGTTAAAGTAGTTTAAGGGTTTGAGTGCTAGCTATCAGCTGACAATAACTTCGAAAATTTATTTCAAAATCTATTTTCTAACTTACTGAAACTTAGCAATTAAAACGGTAAGTTTAACTTGAATTTTATAATAATTTTATAATAATTCAGTTAAAGTATCAAACCTTATTAATATCAAACCTTATTTAATATTTTGCGGTGCTTATTTAGTGTTTATTTACTTTTCAGGATTGAATAGTTAAAACTCTTGGTGAAGATAACAATATGTTTGAATCAGAACCATGCCCAAAGTCGTGTGATACTATATAACATAGTATGATATGTAGAATGATTGATATATCACATAATAGAATGATGGTATTTTGACAATTTTTTGGCGGTATATTTAATATATATTTTTTTATTTTACAGAATTTAAGCAGTATTTCTACAAAACTCAATGCAGATGGCAGGTGAGATTTACTTTATCTGTAAATAAAACGAATTGTTTTTTAAACAAATAAATGCATTTTTTGAAATGTTATTGTAAAGTAAGTTTGTGTTGAAATGTTATAAATAGTTAATTACTTTGCAAGTAAAAGTTAAAAATTTCCTTTTAATGAAAAAGCTACTTAAAATTTTTAAAAAATAAAACCTCTTATAAATATCATATATGAAATAAATTTCTAAATCAGACATTTAATTAAATTATGTTAATTTATTTAATTTGCATTTATTAAACACATATTTTCAATTATTTAAGTTATTTCGAATCCAAACTAATAAAAGTACGATATAAGAAGAGAAGGCATTAATTTTAATTAAATATTATATATATTAGAAACGTGTTCTAAAGTTTTTTAAAGTTATTTCAAATTGAAATCTAAATTTTTTTGATGAAATTAAAATACCCAAAGTGAATTAATATAGTTGAATTACTTATTACATATATTTGAAACATGTTTTTATATTTTTGAAGTAATTTTAAGTTGAATACTAAATATTTTTTTAATGAAAGCAAAATATCCAAACCAAAGAGGTTTAATTTAATTATATATTGCATAAATTTGAAATTAATTGTTATTACGACCATTTTTACAATAAGTTTTTTAATTAATACCAACATTAATTTATGACTTGTATTTATTTTAATAATTGTTTTAATTTAATTTAATGCAATTAAAATTATATCTAATTTTTATATATTCTGTTTAGCTTAGTTATATATTGCATATATTTGAAACATATTTTAGTTATTTAAAGTTATATTAATTTCAATTTAATTTTTTTGGTGAAACATTCAAATCAAAAAAATTCAGTTTAATTATATACTGCATAAATTTGAAAAATATTTTATTTATTTAAAATTATACCCAAACCATAGAGATATAATTTAGTTATATATTACATACATTTGAAACATATTTTATTTACTTAAAATTATTTTAATTTCAAATTTAATTTTATTGGTAGAAGCAAAATACCCAAGCCAAAAAGACTCAGTTATTTATATACTGCATACATTTAATATATATTTTATTTATTTAAAACTATTTTAATTTAATTAAAATTATATCTAATTTTTTGGTAAAAGTAAAATACCCAAACCAAAAAAAAAATCAGTTTAATTATATACTGCATACATTTAAAATATATTTTAGTTATTTAGAATTATTTTAATTTTATACAATTTATTCAAAATTATAACTCTTTTTTTTGATAAAAATAAAAAAGATTTAATTAGGTTATATATCATATATATTTGAAATATATATTTTTTTATTAATAATTTTGTTATTATTTTATAAAACAATTATTATTTTTAATTTCAATAAGAAGTTTTTATATTTTTTTGAAATTCAAACGAAATTGTTATTTTAAAAAATTACTTTGATTAATTACTATATCCCCTATATTTCAATTTAATTTCAAACATATATTTCTTTATTTGAAATAAATTTAATTTCAGTAAGAAGTATATATATTAATAAAAATATTTGTGTGAAAATTAAACAAAATTGTTATCTTAAAAAAACTATTTTGATTCATTACAATACCTCAATTTATATCAATAAATCAAATCAGTTTGAACGGACTATAACTTTTCGCCTGAACCAATTACCTGCATCAAATTATCAATTAATCGTTTTTATTTTCTAAGTCGATAAATGATAAATGCAATATGGCAATACCTAAATTGATGAAAATTTGTTGTTTCATTCACATCTAATTGTTGTTAAGCATAGCTATTTCTCTTTCTGTTTTTTCTGCCATTTTCTTTGTCAAGTCAAACGACGACGACGACGAGGATAGAAAAAATTTTATTGAGCGATTACGTTTGAGTTGGGAGTGTAAGTGCAAAATAGAGTCGCATTTGTGGTATAGAGTCACAGTATCAACTATTAGAAAAAAATTGTTTTAACAGTTTTTAATTTCAAAGAAGTTTGAAATAGTTTTGTGTATTAATTAACAACTGAGGAATAATGAATGAAGAATATGACGCTATTGTCCTGGGCACCGGCCTAAAAGAATGTATCCTGAGCGGTATGCTTTCAGTGTCAGGAAAAAAGGTATTGCATATTGATCGGAATAAATATTATGGCGGTGAATCGGCTTCGATAACGCCATTGGAGGAACTGTTCCAGCGTTATAATATTGCTGCGCCAGGTGATAAGTATGGGCGCGGCCGAGATTGGAACGTAGATCTCATACCCAAATTTCTAATGGCAAACGGGCAGCTGGTAAAACTACTGATACATACGGGCGTTACCCGCTATCTAGAATTCAAGTCAATTGAAGGTAGTTATGTCTATAAAGGCGGAAAAATATCTAAGGTACCTGTGGACCAAAAGGAAGCACTCGCTTCAGATCTTATGGGTAAGTCAAATCAATTCCAATCAGATCCAATAAAATGATTTAATAAACAAATAATGAAACAAAGTTATGAGTAAACAAAAACAATAAACTTGTGATCATATAAATAATATGCTAAACAATATTTAGTATTCAATTAAAAAGAATTGATGAAAAACTATATCAATTTGACACGTTGTGCTATTTTACGATTGCAAATTATGTTATTGAATGTACAAATGGATTTTTAGAGAAAAAAAAACGACGAGGTGTGTAAATTAAGTAAATTCGCGATGCGCAGTCACTTCAGCGAGAAAGTGTATGAGTAAAAATTCTAGTTAGAATAATGACTTTCTCATTTTTTCGCAATTTAATTTAATTTTCTAACTAGATATTTAAGTAATTTTAGTTCTAATACGATTTTTCTGACAAGGCGGTTCCCAATAAGTATACTCTCAGCTGTTGTGTTAGAAAAGGGTTTAATTAAGGCCATCAGCAATTATTACCCAAAAACTGAATAAATTAAATTTTCAGTTAAATATTTGCGTATCTACTACTGCCAAATTGCAAAATAATTTCTCTTTACGGCAACGCAATGATGCCGCCCGCCATTGTATAATAAAAGACAAGTAAATTTTACTGACTTTTCTGCATATGAAAAGTAAGAAATGACGTGTTATTTTGGACTAATGGAGCAGTAATAGCAATAAGTCAATTGCTTTAATAATTTTTATACTTTGTCCAATATTTCTCCACATATACATACATACATACATTAAATTGGCTTCGTTAAATTAAAAATTCGTTACTTTAGTTAGTACACAATATATACATATATGTATATATATATTTTATAAGTGGATAACATAATTATACAATATAATCATATTTATTATAACATAAACAGCTGCATTTTTGTTAATTATAATTATTTAGTAACCATTTGATAGTTTCAGACTCTATACCATTCACTTCCCCGAATGGTATATAGAGTCGTTTTCCATTAAATTATGGAAGTTAATCTATATGTAATATATATATATAGTCTACTCACAGTATCACTATAAGTATAAAAAGCGGCTTACCAATCCTCGTTTTAGCATTTGTTTAACAATCTTCTCTATCTTAACCCTTTAATGATAAATTTTTTATTTACAAAAATATTTATTTTGCTCCAAATGCAGTAAATTTATAGCTCATATAGTTATAAATATGAATAGAAGCAGAGTATATCAATAAGAGAGATGACGCTTCATCTAGCACCTGACATCAAAAAAATATTAAAAACATATAAAGGGTTAATTGACTGATAATACTGTGGCTCTAATTCTTTGCATATAGAATTATGCAAAGAAATATAGTAGACCTATCTATCTCAATAGTCTTAATATTTCTATGTAAGTTTCAATTAAAACTCTACTTCTAGTATCAGTGTAAGTCTAAAAGGCATACAAATTTTCGCTTAAAGTTTTTTTTCACAACCTTTTCTGTTTCAATTGACTAATAATGCCGTAGCTGTAATCCATTAAGTACCAGGTAATTTCAGACTTGGAATTTTACGTTAAAGTTTCAATAGTAAATAGTAAAATAAAACAAGTTTACGTGAATGTGCAAAGTTTAATACTTATTTGTAAAATTACTCTCACCTTTACCTAAAAAAGATAAAATATTCTTTGAATATTAAAAAATATTTAAAGGCAGCCGGGTGGTGTACTACACGGTGGTCCGAAATGTGTTAATGCTTACCATAAAAATCTACTTCATAGGTATTGAAATTTTTGAATTTTACAAAATATTAAAGATATTTGTAAGATTCAATTGAAAGTTTAGCGTGAACAGTACCAGAAGAAGGTATATATGGCCCTAGCCCGTAAGGATCTGCTTGTGTAGTCTCTTTTTTGCTCTACTGAACGACACTTGGCCATTGAGCACAACGCGTGGCTCCGGAGCTTAGATTCAACCGTACTTGTAAACATATTAAACTCTTAGGATAACCTGTTATATTTTTTATTAAGAAATCTGAAGAAATATCTGTTATATTTTTTGCTCTGAAAGCAAAGCTGCATTTGTAATTCTTTGTGGATTTTAACTAGCATGTATAATATATCTTCCTTATAATATAATTTTGTGAAACTAATTTTAAACTTAACAGTACAATGATCATCATTTTTTATTACCATGTTCACATTATGACCTGACCACATATACTTCGGAGCTATGAATCATTTTGGCTCATACATAACATATATTTTAATTACAAAAATGTTTAGTTGGGATTTAAACGTGTTTGCCTATGAAGTTTTGATTATTAAAAAATAATGACTTCAGTTAATTTCAAATAGAGGTAAAAATAAATTATTACAGTATAATATAATAATTTAAGTAGCAGTTACTTATCCATCATAGTTCGTTTTCGCTAGTATGTAGACATTATTTCTCTAAAGAAATAGCATAGCAATATACCATCATAGCCTAAAAACCTACTTGTATGTGTGACTCATGCTATTCGTATTTTGCTGTTACTTTCTCGCGTCACATACAAAATACAAAATGTTTATAATATAATATAATGTGTTGTGTTGCCTCTATTGAATTGGTTTCTATTTCGTTATCTACCAAAGCGTTATGAAGGCACACAAATACAAATCCAAAACCAAGCTCGTGAAGTCAAAAAAAAAATAGTAATAATAATAATAATTTGCAACATAGCATAAGTGTAAAAAAAAGTATTGTTTTTATGTATAGAAGTTAATAAAATTGTGTTTAAATCAAAAATAATATTTTTGTATATTGTCATATACGAGAGTAGTTTAATAACTCAGTGGTAAAAGGCATTAGATAAAGTCCATGTACGCCTTAATACATGTCTTCAATAGCAAACCAAAATACAGTCAAACTTCCATAGCTCGAAGTACCATTTTGCAAAGATAAGGTTCGAGTTATGGAGACTTTGAGTTAAAATCCATGTACGCTTCAATACATGTTTTCAATAGCAAACCAAAATACAGTCAAACTTTTATAGCTCGAAGTACCGTTTTTCAAAGAAACGGTTTGAATTATGAAGACTTTGAGTTAAGGTCCATGTACGCCTCAATACATGTCTTCAATAGCAAACCAAAATACAGTCAAACTTTCATAGCTCGAAGTACCATTTTTCAAAGAAACGGTTTGAATTATGGAGACTTTGAGTTAAGGTCCATGTACGCCTCAATACATGTCTTCAATAGCAAACCAAAATACAGTCAAACTTCCATAACTCGAAGTACCATTTTGCAAAGATAAGGTTTGACTTATGGAGACTTTGAATTAAAGAATTTTTTTCAATTTTATGTGATTTGCTCTAGTTTTTATTATTATTAAAAGAAGGGATCGTGCACTGTGACCTAAAATATCTATTGTATCCCTTACTCGGGTTAGAGTGTTTCTCCAAGTCCGATTTCTTTAATGAAAGACAGTATAGAGCCTATCTTTCCTAGTCGTGAATCCTTATGCTCCATGAAATACCCTCCTAGGTGTTTCTTCCGCTTGTGCATTAGTTCCGGACACTCCCCAAGCACATGGTATGCAGTAGTTTGAGTTATAGAACTTCGAGTTATGGAAGTTTGACTGTAATAACTAATACTCAATCAAACTTAACAATTTATAACAAATAGAATTGAGAATAAATTGCATTAAATCAGATGTCAAATCTAGTGAATATAAGAGTACACAAAATTTTAAACATTTTTTAATTCCAGCGGATCATCTTTTAAATGTAATCCTTTAGGTTGGACACCATCCATCATATTTTTCTGTTAGTTAAATTAGCTCATAAAAACATCTTTTTTGGTTAAATTTAGAAAATTAGAAATTTTTATGCGATTCCAAATGTTTTTATTAAAACATTTTTGTCGGTATTTTATGGGCGTCCCATCTTATCTCAAAAAAAAAAAATGCAAATCAGTAAAGATTAATCCTAATAAAACTTATTCTAATGAAAATAATCAAAAGTTTATTCTACAAAATATAATCCTCCCCATTGGTACTATCAATTAAAACACTATCAACAAGAGAATTCTTTTGGTTTTTCGGCTGTTATTCCGTTTTGATTTTCAAATATAGTGGATGGGGTCTTATCTATTATATTATAAATCAGCACTGTAATTGCAAAAAAATTCTTGGTTGTGATTGAAGTAGCACGATTTTGATTTCATCTGAATGAATTCGGTACTCATCTTGCCGATAAATTTTATATCCTCTAAAGTTTCCACCAAAAATTATGAATGCACAATTATAAGGCCATCGCCCATAATTACATTATGAACATCATCCACCATGTCCACTATATTTTTATTTCATTTGGACAGTCTTTGGTATTCATACGATTACTAATGTGATGGAGCAGAGTCTTCATATTACTTGTTAATTTTTTAGAGAAACCTTAAGAAACAGTCAGATTTATGAAAGAATAATTATGAATTCTATACAGCGATAATTTGTCATGTTACTGTTGTTGTAACTAGAAGGGGATCTGTCGTCCCAGATAATATGTTGTCTCTTATATAGGCTATTAAAGTTACAAACTGTATAAAAAGCAAAAGCCTCTTTTATTCATTAGACCTCCGATTGTTCTCAAAACTGAAATTACTACTCTGTAGCATCCATTTTCATACTATTAAAAACAAAGCGCAATTAATGGATGGAGTGAAAGGCCATACTTGTTTTTTAAATGTTACTTTGAAACAAACAAATAAATATTATTAATGTATTAACAAAAATTATTCGCCCAGCTTTGTCTATCTCTTCACATTGAGCATTTAAAGCCATGTAAATATCATGTAAATTGATGGAATGAAATGTGTACTAAGCTATAGTACTTTACATTATATTTATAGTAAATAAGCAATTATTTTGCTTTATATATAATAAGTAATAGAAATCTATATATATATTTAAGTAAATTCAATAATATTAAATTTTACTTACTATACTTATTTCTGCTCTTTCAATTTTATTGTTATTTTGTGATTTATTTTTGTTATCTCATTAAAAAGGTTGAAATAAACAACGATAAAAAAGTATGTTCAAATAGACAAAAACTTAATTATAGAAAACATAAAAAATATTATACGAGGAAAATACTATAATTCCATTTAAGCATTAGTAATACTCTTTTGTTATTGTTTGGCAATAAAACAAATTTTTGTTTTTTTTTTTTCTATTTTAAATGGAAAAAGGTTAATTTAAATACATAAAAAATCAATTTTTCAAGCGTTACCAACAATTTTGTTAATTATTATACCCTGACTAACATAGGTTAGATTAAGCTGACGGGCCAAACATGTACACTTATTGGTACTTGACGATACCAAAAGGAGCAACACCTCTCTATAGATTGGTAGTTGGTATTATGTAGAAAATCAACGCTTTTTGCGAGTGCAAAATGTGTTTGAAGCTTCACTGAGAACTGAGGGTTCTTCAATAATTTAATTTCCTAGAGATCCCAGACATTTCTAATATGTTCATGCCAATGCAGCACCATAAACACTAAAGCTTTTCCAAAGTTTGCTTTCTTCCTAGTTATTTGCAAGTCTTTCATTTGTCAATAATTTTAATCCTTATCTTTTTTGCACTTATTACTAATAAATGATAGTTCTGTTCTGTAGCAATGCTACTAAGAATCACACATACCTTCTATTCCTTTTAAACCTCTTGCCATGCTAATACTTTACGTGCTTACCTTCCAGAATCCGATGGGCTATACAATAAAAGCAATAGCATTATTAGTTTCTTCATGATAATGTAATAACGCCTGCTTATATGTAATTATCATTGATTATGTTATGTATGTTTAGCCCAAGAATGTTCTGCTTATGCTCTTATCGCAAAGTGAATTGTGTAGTACCAAGAATTAAAGAGAGAAAAATTTTAGCCTCAAGATCAAAATTGTTTTCAATGCCAGCTATCAGATAAAGAAAAACTGTCATATATTGAGAAAAATTTTTTATATAAATATAAGATACAGTTCCGGTAGAGATATGACTAATATGTATTGTGAAGCAGACCCAACTATTTTTTGAACTTGAAATGCACATTTTGCTCTCCTCCATATAAAATAGAGATTGTTTTTCTTTTCTCTGTTACCACTCGACTTCGTAGCACAGCAAAAGCGGATGCAATAGTTTTAAAATATTACTACTATTGCGAATATAAATACCATTTATACTAATTTTTTACTCTAAGAAATCAAAACTCTTCCCTTTTTAAGTTTAGAGTTTTTAAATATTAAACTTAAACTTTGTTGTTGTTGTAGCCAGATCTATAAAGCAGATGATATGAAAGGAATTACAAATATATATACATGGGTTAGAAAATGGATGTTGTAGTAACCCGCTGGAACCTGCTTGTGTAATCCCTTCGGGGGATGTTGAACAACGCTTGGTTATCGAGATTGACAAGTGGCTCCGGAATATAGACCCGGATGTTTTTGGAACCTAGAAAGTTCATAGGTAATGGTAGTGTGAGGAGGAAGGCGGTTATTTTGATAATAACAATGGATTGGGGATGGTTGGTTGGGATTTAACACTCCCAAAAGGAAAGAACGTTTCTTATTCGATACCATTGCTGATCTAGAGTAAACAATCTATACCCTTCTACTTTTGCAATAGTTCCCAATGTGTTAATAAATATGGCAAGAAAGAAACATTGTATCGTAATCTATCGTTTGTTTTGAAAATATAGCTAAATAATAAAGTTCCAAAAAACCTTGTAGTCGCAAACTCTCTTCTAAAATTAAAAGTTTATTCATATTATAACTAAACTAGCACTTGAAGGCTGATAGAAGATCACAAATAATATGTCACTAATCTGCTAACAAATTCATTCAGAATTTTTCATATTTTCAAATTATTATGTTATAATAAAAAATTTATTTTTTTCTTATATATTCCATACAGGCATCTTTGAAAAACGTCGGTTCCGCAATTTTTTGATTTATGTACAAGATTTTAAGGACGACGATCCAAAAACATGGAAAGATTTCGATCCAACTAAAGCAACCATGCAAGCACTCTATGATAAATTTGGCTTAGATAAAAATACACAAGATTTTACTGGTCATGCCTTGGCCTTGTTCCGCGATGACGAATATTTGCGTGATCCTGCTGTGAATACCATTAGACGCATAAAACTATATTCTGATTCATTGGCACGATATGGAAAATCACCATATTTATATCCAATGTATGGCTTGGGTGAATTGCCGCAAGGCTTTGCACGTCTTTCTGCAATTTATGGCGGTACTTATATGCTCGATAAGCCAATTGATGAAATTGTTCTTGGTGAAGGTGGTAGAGTAATTGGTGTACGATCAGGTGATGAAGTCGCCAAATGTAAGCAAGTCTACTGTGATCCAAGTTATGTTCAAGAAAAGGTAAAAATGAATTTTAATTACTATATATATAACATATATACATATATATAAATTACAAACTCTAAATTATGAATTCTTAAATATTTAAGGTTCGCAAGAAGGGTCAAGTTATACGCTGCATTTGCATTTTGGACCATCCAGTTTCTAACACTAAAGACGCATTATCCACTCAAATTATCATTCCACAGAAACAAGTCGGTCGAAAATCCGATATTTATGTTTCCTTAGTTAGCTCCACTCACCAAGTTGCGGCCAAGGGTTGGTTTGTCGGCATGGTATCGACTACTGTTGAAACTGATCAGCCTGAAAACGAAATAAAGCCTGGTCTTGATTTACTTGAACCAATTGCACAAAAATTTGTTACGATCTCAGACTATTTGGAGCCTGTTGACAATGGCATTGAGTCGCAAATATTCATCTCAGAGTCATACGATGCCACTACACACTTTGAAACCACTTGCCTAGATGTGTTAGATATATTCAAGCGTGGTACTGGAGAAGATTTTGATTTTTCAAAAATTAAACATGAACTTGGAGATGAGGAGCAGTAAAATATTTATCAGTTATCAGATATCAGATGTCAAATATGGTGATGGTATCAGAATCCCTAAATATATCCATATAAATAAAAATGTGACTACAAAAAAAAAAAGAAAAATAATTAAGAAAGAATAAAAAACGAAATTAAACATTATATACACATATATATCTTATACTTTCAACTATGAATGCTTATAAATTTAATTCAGATCAATAAATAAAGTTAAAGATAAAGCAAAATGAATCTATTAGTTGATTGAAAAGTTTTGTTACAATTTTAAATTCAATACCAAATTCTGGTAAAATTAATGTCGCAAAATCATCCGAACTGATATAAATTTTTTTTCTATTTCGTAAATTGAAAAATCTTAACTTACGGTTATGAAAAAAACTTTAAAAAAAAATCTCTTAAACAAACGTGAGATAAATTTGAAAGTAAATGAATAATAAAATTAATTTTATACATATTTTCTGTTTTTTAATCATTGCAAATAAAACTACATAATATATTTTAAAATCAAAGTATATAATATATGAAATAAATATAATTTAATAGATTGAAGATGATGGAAAACAAATAATTTACAATTTACATATATATTTATGCTTAATATGTGTAATGTACAATTTGTTCAAAATCAAAAGAACACTGCTATTGTTAGACGAAGTACCCAAACACATGCCCATATTTAAAATGCTTTCCTATTAGCTGTGTGTTCTGTCAAAATAAAATAATGAATAATGAAGAGAAATTTTAATTCAATTTAAATAAATAAATAAACTAATATGCTTGATTTAATTAGTTTGCGTACACATAATAAAAAAGATGGATGATACAATGCATACATTTATGCATCATTTTATTATCATTTAACATCCATTATAAACAAAAAAAACATTAATAAAGACAGCATTTATGAACATTTAAAGACAATTATTAAATTGTGTTTCATTTGCATTTTAATATTTAATACTTTTTTAAGATTAAAATGCAAATTGATATAGTAAAAGAAAAACAGAATGAAACACGATATTTATAATAAAATTAATTATAAAAACAGCTTACTTTTCATTTTATATGTTAATATATTTGTTTCATCGTTAGAAATGGCAATAAACTTCAGACTCCATATCCACACGTAGGTGGAACCAAATCGTGACTTTTAGTTATATTCATGGAATAACTCAAGATCCCATACCTGGGTTATGAAAGCAAATCATGACTTTTAATTATATTTGTTGACAAACCGTCTGACTAACGAATAAAAGGAAATCTATCCTTTACTAAGGAATATGGAAATATATCAAATCTCTCAAAGACATGTTCTGTCAGAATTTTTACAAAATGATCATAACCATAAGTATAAGTTGGCTTTCTGTATAAACAACCAAGTACATGGTTCAATTCTCGACACTTCCAATTTAAACAGTTTACACAAGCAAATCAATAGATATTTTCAAAGATCATTAATAATGAATATTTGACGGTATTCGAAGCAGCTGCATGGGGAATCGAAAAAATACATTATATTAAAAATTTAATTTTGGAATTTGGAATTTCCTTACAATTGCTCCCTTCAACTTAGAAAGTTGAATTCTCGTTATAAGGAACAAAAATTTTATTGAAGTTAAAGATTATTGTCAAATAACAATTCGGCCCGATTTCAATTTTCCTGACACATCGACTTGATAACGGATCAGCTATTTTGATGGATTTTTTCGACTACATTATATGGCAATAAAATATCTTGAGATATCGAAGCTTAAAGGTGTAAACTTAATACAATAATACAAACGATGAGTAACTCCCCAACTTTATAGCCCGATACCTCGAAAACTAATAAATATCGACGTATAGTGTAGAGCAAAAAATTGCTTAAAGTATGGCTTTACTAAAATTCGTTGTTAAATGGGCGTGCCAATGAAATCAGGCTCTTGACACAAATAGGAAAAAGTTTCTAGTCACCTGCTTTAACTAAATTGAGATTTCCTACACGGTAAAAGGGTATTGATGTTGATTGGTTACTGCATATGAGAAAACCAGGTTCTTCCAATAATAATTTGTCGTGGTTGTGGCTCTGCATAGACGATGATAATCGCTTGTTTGCTAATAGCCAATTATCCTTCCGTCTCACACAATTTAGAAACAACTATTTGCCGTTTCAACACCACATTCCCTGTAAAAAAAACCCCTGTAGATGAACAAGATCTATACAGTTGAATTTATATAGTTTAACAAATTGTTTGTTTTAACTACTGATCACTCTGATAGACCGTCAAGAAAGTACTTCTCTAAAAATCTGTTCTTCTTTTAGCAAAGGCAGTCACAGAGTAAATGTGTGATTGTCATTTATTCGTGTATTTCCGCAGCTTCTATAATAAGTTGAATGGAAAGCACAGTTTCTCTGCTTCAAATCCTATATACCAATGACCTGATTGAACCGCAATTAGCCTAGCAGTATGTACTCGGTCCCTGTTAATAAGTTTCATGGACATAATCTTTTTGTACGAAGGTAACAAACGGTTGTTTTACATGTTTTAGGTGACTTCTACCTATTATTAGGTAATTGCAGAAAGTGGGAATAGATGCCTCACGTAACAGTCTCTATAGAAACATATTTCGACACCCCTAGGAAGACATCCATAGAAGCGCCAAGGTGAGCTAAACTTTTTGCTACTTTATTTTGTTCACTATTTCTATAACCGGAAAACTCATAGGAGAGTGATGGCCGCGAGTTGGATTGTACTTCGAGTAAAGAAAACTGTACTTTAACATCTGTGCGTGAAGTTGAAATTACAATAGTTATTTTATTAGAGGTGATAAATATTTTGAAAGATGAACTATTCGTCTTGATGACTGTGTCAATTTACGGATGTGTTTTGTATTTAGCACTTTTGTCAGAACTTCAGCTGCAATGAAAATCCAATACTGGGCAATACTTAAGCATACATATACTTCAACTTATACTTATCATTAAAGAGACATTGATTTTTATTGCTTTATTGTATACAGTGCTTATATCAGTTAGGAGACAGTAGGCGACATTTATTGAAATAGATTTGCTAATAGCAAACCAGCAGAAAAGTCCTTGTGTAAGGAGTTTAAAGGAACGACAAGAAGTTCGCCAAAATAGAGAATATACCAGTTGTTACAACCGATGCATCTGGTAGAGATGCCTTTTCATTTGCCACACTATTCAGAAATTTCATAAATACTAGTTAAAGTTAATGGAGTCATGTTAATGGATCAGGAAAACAGTTTATGAGTGAATACTAACATACCACACTGATTATTTTGAAAAATTAGGTGTTCATCTTCGTTTGTGTGGCTTTTTAAAACTTATACTTGCTTTAAAATCCTCTTTTTAGTTATTTAACTCCATAACAATATTACAATATTACTACAGTTTACAGTTTAATAAAACAAACTTTTTTGAAAATCCAATAAAAATATTTGTTAAAATGAAAAATATTCGGTTAATAAACGAAATGTGAAATTCTGAATAACGACAACTTTGATATATGCATCCATAAGTTATAGGTCCAAAGTCTTTATAATAATTAAATTCATAATTATATATTTTTATTATTTTAATTTTACATATTATATGCTCCTTCGGATTCTAATATACAGCAATTTTTTTCACTGTCATATGCTGAACATTAGAATTGTTTAGCAATTATTTTTAATATATACTACGAACAGGGTTCTAATTCATTCGCTAATTCACGATATAATTTTACAACTGAAGCATTTTTCTGACAAACAGTTCCACCACCACGCACTGATTGATGTTCCTGTCTATTTATATCACCCACACAAATCCAATCGGCACCACCAATTCTCCAACGCCAAATCTTTAGACCAGTTGCTTCAGAAACTGCCCATTTCGAGTGATCATTTGTGGTCTTAAATGACACATCGAAATTTTGATTTTTAATATATAAAATATTATACACTCTAAAAAGAAAAAAAAACATTTAACATACATTATTTATTTTTATTTTTTAATTTAATAATATTTACTTATCATTTGCAGAACAATTAGAACCTAAATTTCCAGGACCATTTCGCCAACCTTCCACCAACAGATTGACATCCAAAGTTGGTGCTACAAAGTCCTCGTATAGTTCTAGGCCATACTTAACACTTTTGGCAAAAGACTTAAAATTATTTTTGCCTGAAGTCATTAAATCGACAATGTTGTGATATGGTGGTTTCGTTTTCCATTTGCCCTCGATGGCAACATCCAATTCTGGGTACTTGCCTTTCAGTGCAGCCGGTACGCGTGTGTAGTAAATATTTGGTTCATTAAATATCAACTGCTGGCCAATTTTATGCATTTCGCTATCTGGCAGCGTCAAACATAAAAAGCTTTGTCCATAATGTTCGCCAGACTTGGGATATTCATAAGTAGGAATTGAGGGAAATTTTGGCACGGAATGTATTAACCAAATAGCCGTTTTACCATCAGTTGCTACAACACCTTTTGTGTGTCCATGGTCGAATACAACAGTGTTGTTTGGAAATTCATCATTATAAGCAATAAGTAATACCTCAGGATCAGTAGCGAAAGCTTCTAAGGTGCGTCCCGGGAAGGATGTAGACTCATTTATAAAACGGCTTGAAAATTGCCAATTATCCTGATTGTTACTTGTAATATAGAGATAGCGCAAACCACTTGTATCAGTAGGTTCATTTTGATAATGTTTAGGTAGCTTATATAGGTAATACCTTAAAAATATTTGAAAAAAAAAACTACAAATAAAAGATAATAAAAAATATTATCCTACCAATCTACTTCTGATCCAGACTCGTCTCTGCAGGATACTTTGCCGTCTTTGAGGTTTCCTTTCACAATACTACCGAAACACAGCAAACAAACAAAAACATTTATTTTGTTTATCATATTATTATTAATTTTTAAATTATGTAAAAATAAATTGATCATTAATCGATTCGATAATATATCTTAAAACAGTGAATGGACGTTTGCCTTGCAGTTCAATATTGAGAATGAAATTATTACCTGCACGTAAAAGACCTGCAGATGTTTTCGATTAAATACATATGGAAAACTAAAGCGAAGACTACGCAATTCTTCAAACAAAGACAATTTCTTACATACATACATACTTATATGTACAAAGTACGGGAACAACAAACATCGACCGAAATAAGTATTGACACACACATTGTTTAAAAAGAAACCGGGTTCGAGATATGATTTGTGAAATGTTTTTTTTTTTTTGTTTAAGATAAAGGACCTAGTACTGGAGAACCTGTATATTTATAAGATACAATAAAGTGTAAAAACATAAATAAGTTGCATACATATATGCGAGTTACATTATAGAAGGTTATACCAACGAACCCACCATGTATTAGTTTTTTCACTTATGACACTGCAAAGCAGTATTTTTTATCTTCTAGGGTCAGGTCACTATTTACATTTTAAACCTAATAATGAAAACATACTAACATGTCGTTGAAAATTACTTTATTGTTTCTCGAAGTATTCTCTTTTATGATTAATACTTGTACATGTTTGCATGCGTTCGAACCATTTGTCAAAGCATTTTTTCTAATCTACTTCAGACACTTTCAAAACATGGTTTTTAAATGCAACAACGGCTTCTGCTTGCTCCGCAGACAAAAATTAACAATCGTTGTCCACGCAATTTATTCTTAACGTTCGGGAACAAGAAGGTTGTTAAAAGTCATTGAGTGCCAAATCGGGACTGTATGTAAATCAGCCGGATGACCCATCAATTCGATTTTTAGAATAATCAAATAGTTGGTTGTTAGATGAAATGTGTGAACACTCGCATTGTATTTATTGAGATTGAGAATGATCTGACGGCGGTAGTTTGTTTTCCGTATTTCACTGAAAACTTCCGTTGAACAAATAATTGCGACCATTTGTTTGGATGTGCTTCGAGCACAAAAAACTTTTGTTGGATTTGGTTCATCTTGAAGCATTCATACAGTCAACTGTTGTTTACGTTCCGGCTCATACACATACGAGTATATCCATGATTCGTCACCTGTTACAATCATATACTCGTATACATCATTTGAAGCACTACCATTGTACTTCTTGAGCATTTGTGTGCTGTGTGTACCAATCGACACGAGCAGTTTTTTGAGATTTTGTCAAATGATCAATGATGGGGGATTCATCGAGAACGAAAACCTTTTTCACGTCAAAATGATTGTGCAATATTTTATATATGCGGATTGAACTAATGCTTTAATCATTCAATCTCACACTATGTCGCGCGACGATATTCCATTATGAGTATCAGCATCAATGTCTAGCACAACAACTGATTTTGGCATAACAACGCCCTTCTCGGATTTTGTCAGTGAGTGAAATACGGTCACGATTAAAATCATTGTACCAGCGTTTCACAGTGACAAAGGATGGAGTTTCATCGTCAATTGTAACAATAAGTTGATCGATGTACTCTTGTCTTGCTAATCCATGTTGAAGGTGTGATAATAATTTTCTCGCGTTAATTCCATTTTTTCGCGAACACACAATTTACAAATCACTGCAAATAACACAAATGACGCACTTTTGACAAAAAGTCTAAAGTATGTTTAATAATGTCAAACTTTCGTATGGAAGCGTTGGATGACACCTGACAACAATCAGTGTTGCCAAGGCTCAAAATATAAGTAGTGACTCTCGTATTTATGAGTCGATGTTACGGTTCAGTTGTACCAGAGGTGCAGTGGGATAAAACACGCTAATGCTATTGTGAGACAGATAGGTAAAGTGCCCATATATTCATATATCCAAATCCTTGCAGTTTATTGTGTTTAGCTATAGTATTACTTTGTTGCACTTTTTATTATAAAGATTATAAAGAAACTCACGTTTATAGCCCTAGATTGAACCGTAGAAACTTTGTTAAGTCTACATAACCCAATAGATTGTGACAATATCGTTTTCCAGGCTAGTGTTCTAATTAAATTGTTTAGCTAGCTTAACCCTTAAATATACAACTTCTTTGGAGCTCTCGACATCTGGTTATACATACTTACTAATAATAATAATTAGCGTATCATATATTGTATTATCAATGGCATTTAACCAGACAACTACAGTTTAACTGGTAGTTTATTGACTATTTGTATACTTAGCTGTGCCAAAAAAATCCAGTTTTGATGACAGCCTCGTATGGCAGTGATTGTAATAGACTCTACTCTACGATTATAACATATTGGACAAAAATTGTAATAATAGTTAAAACAATATCTACCATAGTTTAGTCATAGTCATCTTACTCTGCCAAAGAGTAAGATTATATTTCATTACTTTATAGAAGATCGCATTTCTGAGAGAATTAATTTATCACAGATCTTCAATAAATGAAAAAAGGCGTATTCTCATATTTATAACTAGCAAATAAGTGTTTAGTACATGACTACATCTTTATACATGAGGATGTCGTTTTTTATATCTAGAGATTTCAGTCGAAAGGTAGTTTAAAATTTTTTTGCTATACAGAAATGGTAACGAGGAAGGCATTACTTCGGCATGGTGTTCAGTTAATCCTCGTTTATATTCTACTGCACTCGTGCTGTTTCTAGTGTAATAGGTGCCAATGCATTCATAACACAAAGACAATCTAAAGATTCTTCTGATCGCAGTGCCACTTGGATATATCTGCTTGGCTCGCATAGATATTGCTAGATAGCAGTTGGTATATTCTTTCACGTTAAACATTTTAGACTCAACATGAAGTTGGTCAACATGTGACATGCGATCACAGTCAGTTAAATGTCGTGTGGTTGAGTTTTGATATATTATTTTATTCTTTAATCGGTGTATTTATTGAATCTTTCTAAATAAAAATTGACAATAATTTTGCGAATCTTAAAAAACTAACATGTATGCTATTGAGCTAGGGTGTTCATATTTATCAATGATTTTCTTTTAAGGCGATTTAGTGCAATTGCAGAAGATAAGTGTCGAATATGAGGATTTAGATACGACTTGAGTCTCTCTCGGAATTAAAGTGTATATTGGCGAATTAGTTTTGAAATATGCAATTTAAAATGTTGTGGAAATCTTTTTTAGTGCAGCAAGTACGTACATTAACTAGTTTTGATAGGCTTGCTTTTTTAATGGAAACAATTCAAGTTTTTGAATGTAATGTAATGTAAAACTATTGACTTTTAACCGACCACATTTTCTAATTTTAGTTATTGATAAATGTAATTTGATGAATATTTTAGATTTCATCTTATTTTACCATATGCTAAGTCGCACTGATTAATTACGTATTGATTATTAAGTAGAATTAAATATCTACAAGAATTTAAAATAAGAAATTAATTTTTATATGTTAATATAGTGATTTATTAATGTCAAAGAAGTATAATAATTTTGCTATTCAATTTTATTTCACCTCACAAAAGAGTCCCCCTTGCCTTTTTTGGTGCTGGATATTCTTCTGTTACTGTTTCACTTTTCGCGTGCTTTCGTTGCAGTTGTTTTTCAATAATTCGTGCATTATTCGCATAACTGTCCGCAATTTCACGCTAAAAATATATTAATATTATTGATAAAATATAAATAAAGTTCTAAATGTTAGTGCCATTTGAACTTACCGCTTCAATTTCATCTTCTTCCTCATCGATTGTGGATACTGTCACAGAACTAAATTTACCCATATTTTTTGTATGTTTCGTGACCACTATTTTTTTATTTCCAGCGATACTATTAAACGTAACACCATTTGGATCAGCTTCACCGGTACTTGAAACAGTATCTTTTTTATTTGCGACCAGTGCATCTTCAATAATAAACGTTACGTTCACTTCTTTACTGTGGCGATAAAATAGTGGCAATTCACAGGATTTGCACTTAATGAAAAAATTTTCAGTTACACTTCAAATTAAAACATTAAATAATTTTACCTACATTCAGACGATACTGCCTTTCTATGCCTTCGTCACGTTTAATATAAACAGTGCTACCCTCGTTATATGTAATCTTGTGTGCACGATATTCGCTGTCAATAACGCGAGCACCATCTCGCTGACGTAAGGGCAATTTCTCAATACTGCAGTCTACAAAAAAAAAAAATAACGACTAAGTAACGAAAAAAGTAAGTTTCAATTTTTCGAATGTAAAAACAAACTTTTTAAAAATAAATAATAATTAACTAATGTTATCCAAATGAAGCAGTTGCATGTCCACACTGCATTAACAACAATATTGGATAATCTCTGAAATACCCTTATGAAATCGAATGTCTGATATTTAGAATTCCTTGGATTACGTTTTTGTACAAAGCCATTTTGTAAATAATTTTTAAATGAACTCAACTGTTTATGACAATAATTAAATAATTTTTTTATAAACTAATTTCACACACTCGTTTTTTTTTTATTGTATTCAAATTGTAGACAGTATAATTCAGGCAGTATATCTTTTTCAAGATGGTGTTAAACTTATGTTTGGATAGCGCATTGTGACCAGCAGCAACTGGTCCAGAATCAACCCGTCTGCACTTCGACTCCACTCTTATACCATCACTCCCAACAGGGACTATATCAGCAAATTATCGTGGAATACAATAAAAATTTTAATATTCTATATTTAAATAAGACATCAAACATATGAACAAAAACGATGACTACCACAGAATTTTGGTTTTGAATCGAAAATATGTACATATGTATCATACCTAAAATCAATGACAGTTTCCCGCAAATACAGTAATATATATGCAATGGTTTTTCCTCGTTATATTCTTCTTGGTCTTTTGAATCTGAGCACACAATACTTCGAGATACAACCTTTGGCATTTTTTAATATAATCAATAAAGTATATTATTATAAATATTAAAACTTTTAAAACAACTGGGTTTAAAATCAGAATTTATTTAATATAAAGAAAACGTTAATTCACAATAGCTAACCGGCAGAGAATACATTATAAGAATGGAAAACTTATGATGCAAGAAAATTTCCTTGTTAATAACAATTCACCAGTCAACAGGGGGTCGATTCCACAACTGTGAAAAAAATTGTGTGTACACGCAAACGAAAAATTTATACCTCACCACAGTTTACGCTTTCTTGTAAAATGCTATTCCTCAAGTACTAGTGAGTTTTTCCTGCTGAATCTCAAATAAAGACGTGCTAAATGCGTATTCAATTTACATTGAATAAATTCAGTTATTGAAAATAAATAAGTAAACAAAATGGTATACATTATACTAATGATAATGCAATTTTATTATAATTCTTATATTAAAAATTTTTATTTTATATTTTTATAATTTTTTTACAGTTCTTATATTATAAATTTTAAAATTTTACTATATGCAAAGAATTCTATGTTGATATTTAAGTACAAATTTTTGCTTACTTTTTACATTTTTTCCATTTTTGAAATCTGTAAAAAAATAATAATACAAATTTATATTTAATTTTACACAAAATTTTCTATTTTTTTAAAAACTCACCACCAAATTTACAGTGAAAAAAATTTGACAAAAGTATACACTTTTTGACAGAAAAATTCTCTATTCACAGTTGAGGAATAGTAAAATCAAAATAGGACTGTTCCACGAGTTACTCGTAGTAACTGAGTAACTCTGTGTATATAAAAGTGCCTTCCACCAGTAAATGTTCGTGTAAATGAGATCATCTGAGAGAGCATAACATCCCTGTCAAAACTTGTAAATGCTACACAGACTTTAGTCGTACATTTTATTCCAAGTAAAATTTGTGTGATGTGTGAATCAGCTGTTTTGGTTTGAATTTAAATTTTTGTTTTATTTATTTGCACGACACTTGATGTTCTCACTAGACTTTACCCAAAGCTGTTCCATTAAAATCTGTGTAAAGAGCGAAATTTGGCACTTCCTTTGTGTTACGCTCTCAGTTTGTACTTTACTTCTGTTGTACTTGAACTTTACTACGAATAGCTCGTCGAACAGACCTAATAAACATCATATCATTTATATTTGACTTGATCAAGGATATTAAATGAAGATTTGTTTCTCCTATTTTTTCAATAAAGTTTTTGGTCTAAAATGATTTATTTATTTTTTTTTTTTATTATTTGAAACACAATATGTACAATAATATAAATACATGTTTCATTTGACTACGACTAGTACAAGTACAAAGAACTATCAAGCAGTTTTGTTTTATTTCAGAATACGTTTTAAAATTGTCAAGTTGTCAAAGACTTATAGCATTGACAGACGAGCGCACTAAATTATCATTAAACAGCCTTAAATGATCATTTTAAAAATACCCTGAAAGACGGTATAAATTATCATTAAGAAGTTGCGCCGTCCATGCGTGGCGCTTGAGTTTATTAATTTGAGTCATCTAAAATCAAAAGAAATATAAAATATATAAAAAAATATAAAATATATAAAAAAAATATAAAATATATAAAAAAAATATAAAATATAAAAAAATACATATAAAATATATAAAAATATTACGAGTACTTACATTTACCAATGTTTCCAAATATGTTTTGTTTACATACATAAATGATCATTTAAAACTGCTAAATGAGCAAATAAATTATAATTTAGCCCCTTAATGATAATTTAGCTCCCGTTTGTCAATGTTATTAGCGCTAATAGAGTAGTAATCTAAATTATTATTAGACTACTAATTCGGGAGTAGATCTGTAGGCTTTGTTCGTTTAAGTTTCCTCAGCAGGCCAGATGTATTAGTCAGATGGTTGACTGCCTCGTTTGGATGCTGTTGTAATGATTTATAATTTTATTATCAATTTATATTGTTATCACTACTTAATTAGCAAAGCAATTATTATTTCCAACGGACTCTCATGCTTTGGTCGTAATACCAATGTATTAGGGGCATATAAAACTAAGGGTTTTTTACAAATGATATACGTAATTGTTTTTTTTTCTCTTACAGCTTGCTGAATATTTCTTATTAGAAAAACTCAATCACTTCAGTTTTTCTGGTGACCACTGAGCTTCAGTTGTTATGTATCTTTTTAACATAAAAAGTTGCATAGTATGATTTTCACCTGTACGAGACTGAAAGCTGTTAAATAAATATATTATTATTGTGATTATAAAATGATAGGAAGGGGATAAAAGTTGTAAAAACCTCAGCGATTAAGTTCAAAACATTTCATGAAATTTTTGTTTGAGATTTAACCCATATGTTTGTTTTACTCTTGCACAATGTTGACTGAAAGCTTACTTCATTACTTAGTCATTTACCACTTTTGAGATTGCCACAAATATTGGATTCACACAAGAGTTTTGTTTGTAATTTGAGCTGCCAAAAATGTTCATTTTGCATTGAAAGCAACAATAGTTGACAGCTAAAATTAGAAACAAATCTCTCGTATGAATTCAAATATAAGGCAACTTTGATTTATTGTTTTTACATGCAAATCTCCAACGTGCGGCGAAGATTGTTGCACATTCTTCACATAATATTCATAACTTAATTATTTTTAAGTTATTTTTGTTGTCATTTGAATAACAAATTTGTTCATCCACTTAGCAAATATTGTAATGATTCGGTAATTTGTCTTAATTTTTGATTTAGTTTAGGCCCCAATATAAACATATCCATGCCTATTCGCCTAATCTATCGCTCAATTCAGAAGTATTCAAATATAACACAAAGAAACAAATACTTACTGAATAATTGCAAATATGAATCTAACGGATATGATATTTGTAAATGAGAATCGGACGAGGCTGTAAAGAGTTCCAACATGAGAAAATAGGTGTGAAAATTAAAAACACCATCAAATTTTTGAATTTTTTTTTGTGTTTTTCTTCCAAAATGAGCTTGCAAGTCCACACATAACAAGTTGAGCATGCGGATGAAAATGTAAATTCCAAAAAGAATTTGGATGTGAATTGGAATATTAAAGTTCATCAGTATGATCCGTATTTGAGAATGCGGATGTAAACAATCGGCCCTAACTCCAAATGCAATGTCTGACTTTGTAAACATGAAGTCTAATAAAATAACTAAGAATAACCCGTTGTCTCAATAAAAGAGTTCGACTTAAGAGAACAAATCAACTGTGTAAATACTTATTAAAATCATAATAAACTTAAATAAAATATGTATCCATTACATCTACAATAAAAAATAATATAGCGACTCATTTAAAAATATAAATATATTATTTTATTATAATACTTTGATATAAACTTAATTTATTATATATATGTAATTGTATAAAAATAAATGATTATGACAATACACGCACGTTTATATTAATGAAAACCAATGTACAATATGTAGTGTAAATGTTGCTTTCTGAATAAATATTGAGTAAATATAAAATGAAGATTAATAGTTAGTTTAGATATACATACTAAAAAAATTTAAATAAGGAATTACAATATTCGAGACATTGTATATCTTATAATTTATCCTAACGATAGATCGATAGATGTTTTAAACATCTTCAACATGTGAATGTGATGGTTTTTTACGTTTCGTCGAAGTTTCGAACTTCAAAAAGATGTCTTCCAGCGATGGTTCATTTACAGAATAATCTTCAATTAAATCTTTGCATTCAGTGAAAAATCTCTCCGTACAATCAAAAACATTTGACCAACTAATCTGCTGGATATTCTTAATATAATAGGTCAACATGCCTGCATGGTTTTCCCTTAAGTCACTATCCGGAAATTGATTAGAAATTTTCGTCGTTATTTTTCTTACATTTACTTCGCAATCATCAACTTTCATTTTTATTTTAATCGTAAATCCACTTCCATATCGCACTTTCAAATCAGGAACATATCCTATACATTTAAATCTTCCATCAGCCATTATAGCCAAACGATTGCATAGCTGCTCACATTCATCCATGCTGAAAAAAAACGAAATAATAAAAGAACCACTTCTTGAAATTTTATTTAAGATAGGTGCGTCACAAAGAATAAACTTATACAGATTAACATGAGAGTTCTAAACCATCATCTTAATTTATATAAAACTAGTAACAAATATTTTTGTTATTTGTAGATAAAAAAAAAACAAATTATACACATAACTTACCTATGAGATGTAAGTACAATTGTCTTATCACGCTTTTGAAAATCTTGTATACACTTCCAAAGGAACCGACGCGATACTGGATCTACTCCAGTAGTTGGCTCATCTAATAATACCAATGATGGACTACCAATCTAAAATAAAAATTATTTGAAGACTTTCTAGTTTAGGTTTTACTCTACTTACCATTGCCAATGCTGCATTTAGTTTTCTTTTAGTACCGCCAGAATAGTGCCGTACTTTCACGTTGGTGTATTTATCTAAATCAAGTTGTTCTATCCAGAACATTACTTCATTATGTAAATTCTCCTCGCCACTTATATTGCGTAGCTGCGCCATATACTTAAGTAATTGATATGCAGTCATAAAATTATTTAAGCAATCATTTTGAGGACAATAGCCGAATCGATATTTATATTGAATTTCATTGTCCAAAATGTCGACACCATCGATTTTTATTGTTCCATGGGTTATTGTTGTGTTTGCCGAAATCATTTGGAATGTAGTTGTTTTTCCGGCTCCATTTACACCGAGTAATCCAAAACATTCTTGTTTTCTGACCACAAAATTTAAATCACAGACCGCTGCTTTGCGATCGTAAGATTTGGATAAGTTACAGACTAACAATGGAATATCGCTTTCAACTTTTTCTTAAAAGAAAAAATAATACATTTTTTTAAAAAAATTCATTTAAGATTGGATGTTTACTTATAATTAGCAATAATAACTTTTTTTAATTATCATTATTATTAATTATTATAATATATCTACCCATGGATATATCATCATTGTAACAAAGAAACGGATGATGTATCCATGGGCGACGATTAAAACGCCGCCCAAAACAATATATAATAATTATTTAAACCGATTTGTGATATGCGGTTATTATATTTGTAAGGATCTGACCAAAACAGATTAGTTGTAAACCATTTACCTTGAGCTGATGATAACAAAATATTGATTTTTAAAAGACATTTGAATAATGACGCTTTATACAGTTTTAGCAACCTCATATTTCAAAAATACGATAGATTCAAAGTGCTAACCCTGACACTTTCTGGATATAAAATTATATATAGATTATTAATCCAAAAAACAACTATTGTTAAAGACAACTTTGGATAGGTATTTGGCAACACTCGAAACAGCTGTATGACTATTAAAAAAATTTAACTAATTCAAAGTAACAGTTGTTCCAATTCATCAGTATTTGATTTTGTATCTGATTATTCTATATAGTCCTTATTCGGTAGCACTGATGCAGTGATATTCGGGTGCCGATTTTAACATCGACTTTTCTTTATTGGAAAAAAAAAACACAAGCAACTGTGAAACGACCATTGCATTAACAGAAACGCACTAAATGATATGGATTTTGGTCTGGAGGTGTGACAGACCCGTAATTTTATGGAAAATTAAATGGCGTTAAATTAAAAATGAGGATATTATGTGGTTTCAAAAATATGTGGTTTGTCGCAAACCACACCACATGCCCTGTTTTAATTTAATTATCTTAGAAATTTTTTATATTTATTATTGCACAGTTTGGTGAGATGAATTGATAGATTTGCATAAGTGATTTGTCATCAGTGGACTTTTTCGAAAGTAACAGTATAATATAAATAAATAATATCAGATTATTGCATTCATTGTGCTTTTATAATTTTATTTGCACATAGTAAGGCAAATAAATATATACTTGTATTATAATTACCTTTTAATATATCCTGAACAGTTGCTTTTTCGATTTGTACCAAGTTTTCCTCTTCCTCTGGACATAATGGATTACTCGCTGCTGTTACTTGCCTGCAAGTATAACAGCTAAAAAGCCTCTGTAAGGCTTGTCGTTTTTCCTTGTTTTCAAAAATGATAAATAAAATCTGCAAAATATAATAGAACCACAATGAAATGTATATATAGAATATTTATATTTTTTTACCATCATAATAATAGTTATAAAGATTGCATATGTAAAAAAAGTAGCTATATTAAGATCTGGAACTGAGCCCTGATTGCGACGTTCTATAAAAAACAACTCATTAATTACACGTAACTGATGATTTAGATTGAAGTCCGGTAATATTGAGAGAAAGAATATTTTTGTTTCATGATATTTCATTGATTGTATGTTGCCAGAGGTAATAAGCGGTGCAATAGCTGATATAATGAGCATAAAGAGTAAATAAGTTGAGATTGTTGAAATTGAACGGAAGCTATTGGCAAAGCAATACAGAATGGGTAAATAACTGATGCCATAGAAAAATATTGATGCAACTATTGTGTACTGTTCAGCCGGTGTGTACAGTTGTTGTGGCATGAGCAAAAATTGATATCCAAAGAATAGCAAACAGACGAGCATGTGTAACAGCACATCATATATAAATACTGAAACCCAATATGTTACATGTGGTATGGGTTGCAAGTTCTTAAATCCTGATTTATTTTCTCGAAATGGTAGCGAAACGTAGAAAAACATGCAAAAGAACATACCTAATGGTTAAATAAAAACATGTTTAAGATTAATTTTTTAATAAAACCGATTTTAATACATACCAATTGGTACAATAACAGCATAATATTCCAAACGTGTCGGACTCACATCGGTTATAAAGCTGTAAATGTATATAAATTATAGATTACAATTCAATGCTTTTACATAATGTTCATAAATACCGTTTTATTGGAACATAATTAGTCTCAATTGTACTTTTTTCACTTGTTTGTTGCTTTAGGACAGCATTATCTATTAGATTCATAAGAATCACTGAGCTGTGGTAAATATTACCAGAAAAGAATATGTTAAATTTTAATCCATTTTCATCCGTTTTAAGTTCTATAGCACCGATAACATTTTGCAAAAAATAAGCCAATTCTTTTTGTTGTAAACTTATTAACTCTACAAATAAAATAAATTTGAAACACGTTATTTTTATAATAATAATCAAGTTTAATACCTTCTGCCAGTGAATTGTTTTCTTGCAGTTCAAGTTTGCTTGCTGTTATCCCAAATTCCTCAATATGCTTCGTTAGAAGATTTTCAATAGCTTTGTTAGTGCCAAGTGGATTGCTAATGTATATAAGACCTTCTTTGATTTGCGCTAAATTCAGCGTTAACACATCCTCGCTTTTTAAGAGAGCCATTGAATGCATCAATAACATTGCCAAACTAACAGCAACAAAAGGAAACAAAAGCTGTAAGCAAAAAATTTTTATAAAAAAAAGATTATTCGATAATAATACTATATCATAGATGATTTAAATAGCTTAATAATACGACAAATTCCAATATGTATAGATAGTATAAATACTTTAGAAAAAAAAAATCGACCTTATGGACGCACATTATTAGCAAGCCTTAACCTTGCAAATGTGATTACCAGCGTATCTTGTTTAACGAAATAGCTCAAATATTTATCTCTAACCGTGCAAAATTAGCAGAAAAAGCAAGATTTGTTGATTTTAGAGGTTGAATTTCCAAGGCCGGAACACTCTACCCTAAATCCACACGTTCAAGCACCCAAAGTCATAACATATGCCAATGATTGCACAATCTTGCACACGGGCCAGTATCGCTATTGTGCATATTTTAAACGCAAAAGTCCTTTTACCTAAAACTACACCTACCAACATCAAAATTCTTGGCTATTATCTTAACCTGCAGGAGTAAAGAGTCCACCCATTTTTTATTAGTTGGACTCTACGGTATGAACACCATAGCTTTGCGAAAGGCAACATAATAAAGACCATATATTTCAAAAGTCAACGCTGCTAACACATTCATACAGAGTCTAAAATATTTCTTGTGAAAGAATACAACTTGCTGGTGTCCAAGCAGTTTCTTATTGCTTGACACAAATATGAACATCCCAATCGCGGTACGATGTACGTTACATATGTCGATGCTTTCTGTGTATGATAACAGCGAAGCCAACAAGTAATATCGAATATAAATGAAAGTTAACTGACCTGCATACCGAAGCAGTGTCTCTTCATACTTTCATACATTAATATTGTAACAAAGTTCTCCACAGACCTGCGCGTGAAATCGATAGGAATGAAAGACGCTTTCATGTAGGAAGAACTGTTTTCGCCTTATTGAGGTCAGGATATAACCACGTAAAAATTGGTAACTTGTCATATACCAATATGTCTATTCTCAGTATATACTCGAAAATCCACTCTAGCCCTCATGACGTCGCCCACTCTAACTCTAACTTAAACACTATTGATTTGAGTCCATCCCATTAAAATTGTAAGGACGCAAGCTAGGTAGATACCTACACCATCATCTTTTCCCTTCATCACACACAACCCTTTCCCTTTGTTTTACAATCCTTTCATGTTTTTTGCACTATGGGGTTTCTGGATCCCAACAATAAAATTTTATTTGAAAACAGATTTAATACCGAGTAATTATTCTTTTCTCTCGGGATAGGTCGAAAGTTGTGGCAAAATTTTCTCGATTCTGTTAACAACGTATTTTTTAAGTCGTACTCTGTCTGTAGCAATTGTTGTTGTCGTTGTAGTAACTCGCTGGGACCTGCCTGAGTAGTCCCCTTGGGGGGTGCTGAACGGCACTTGCTCGTCGAGGTCGACAAGTAACTCCGGGACGTAGACCCGACAGTTCTTGCAACCAAGCAATCTGTAATCTTAGTTTTATTCCACTTTTAAGGGTAATAAAAATAAAAAGATTTAAATGTTTTGCCATGTTCATATTCAATTAATGTAAAAGTTAAGTTCCTTTATAAATCATAAAGTAAATAAAATATTTTTCTACAATGGCACCAAACAAATAAATCTATTGATATTGATATGATTAACTAATTATGACTTTTCTTTTTACTGTCTATCTTTAAATATTTTGGTTTTAATTTTGGTTTTGACAGACTATAACACTTAATATATTTTCTTGTTTTATCAAATCCTTTGCTTTTGAAAGCTTACCATAAAAGTAGTATATTTCCATCCACTTTTCAAGAAAATAGATTTTTTGTAAGCAATTGCCTTAAAATGCTGCATCCAATGAATTTGTGTAGTCGGTTCGAGGCATTTGTAAGGTACACGCATTTTCGCATCACCATTACTGGAAACGTGGCAGTCGACTTGATCAATTTCTGGTACACAACTACAAATCAAGTTAAAATTCAGTATATTTTGTAGCTTATACTTTATTATAAAAGAATTACTTCAAAAAGACATCTTCCAACGACGTGTCAGTTACCGAAATCGAATTTATACCCAAGTGTTGTTGTGCTTCTTCTAAATGCCGCAAGAGTTCGCTGTACTTCACTTTATATTCGTAAGACAATCCAATAAGTACAGTGGGTGGCACAATATTCTAAATTAATTTAGCATAAATAATTATTTATAGCATAAATAATTCATAATAAGTGTTTAGTCTTACCAATATTTGTGCGCCAGGTATAAATCGGTGGATTAATTCCATTGTCTGTTGTTCTTTAAATAAACTTTTACGCGTAGATAACTTAAGTATGTAACCACTACCAACTTTTCGTTTTAATTCCAATGGTGAACCAGTACGCTGCAAGCGCCCAGATGATAATATGCAAATGGTATCACCCAAAACTTCAGCTTCTTCCATGTGATGAGTAGTTACTAGAACAGCTTTCGTTTTACGTAATTGCAACAAAATATCCCAAAATTCACGTCGTGACTCTATATCCAAACCTGAAGATGGCTCATCCAAAACAATAACTCTGATAGTGTTAAGATATTATTTAAGTTTGTAAATGGTTAAGTTTTTGAAAAATTGATGACTAACTTTGTATTTCCGGCTATTGCAATACCTAAAGAGAGTCGGCGTTTCATGCCTCCAGAAAGATTTTTGCCATATTCATCAGCTTTATCCTCAAGTTTTAATTGATTAAGTAGACTATTAGATAGAGTTTTTGCTTCCTTGGTAGTCATATCACGTAACTAACAATTAAAAATAAATGTAACATATTTGTTTATATTAACTACAAGAAATGTTTGATAAGCTTACCTGCGCAAAGAACTGCAAGTGTTGTGAACAAGTCATATACTGCATAAACACACTATGTTGTGGACAGAATCCAATCAAATGTCGATAGGATGAAACATCACGCTCGCTACACACTGTTATACTGCCTGCGTCTTTTCGTGCCGAACCTAAGTAAAAACAAAAATTAGTTCACAATTCAAGATCTTTTCTTACATCGATTCATTAATTTGGTTTATGAATTCTTGGTTCAAAAAAAATCTGAATCGGCGGATATAAATGCAATGCCTTTGTCTTTAATAGTAACCGAAACATATAGTGTTTAAAGCCATAACCAATAAAAACTTTAAAATACAAAATGTTAATGTGTTAATAGAATTGAATTACATTGAATTGAAAACATAACTGACACAGTTTGAAACACTGAATATTTAATCGTTTTATAAAACTTTATTATTGTTGTTGTTGTTAATATTTTCTATCTACGGAACTAAAGTGGCTTTGTCACAATAATCCTCAAAGGATGCAGTGATGTGGTGAAAAGTTCTCAACCCGTTTAAAATCTAATCTAATATAATGCTTTCTGTCTCAGTTAGTCATCAGAACACCTTCACTCACTTGGTGAGTGAGAGAATTTGATATCTGAGTCCACCGACAGACAATAGTGTTTTTCAAGTTTTAATCGAATATTATAGTATACGAATGTCTACCAGTAGTGATAGAGTTTGCATTAAGCAAAAAGTGGGTAGTGTTCGGTTATGAGTCATGGTATTATAAAATTCCAGTCTTGTCGCCTATATATATGGATTAGCTCTTACCACGGAAATCTTCTTGTAAGTCTGTTGTACCATTAAGCAATCATGATCTTTTCGTCAGCTTGATATTAGCATTCTAGTTGTCCTTATATGCTATATGAATGTTACAGACCTATAATCTTGGTGAATATTGATTGCATTTCCTAGTGATAAAGATCGCATGTGTTTTATTCTGTTTAATGTATATATTCTACTATATAATCGGACAGAATGCACTAGTGCGTCGATATGATTCTGAAGTGTTTGTTTTTGGCTACGTTTTCCGAGCATAATATGTAAGTACCATTAAAATATTTTATAAACAATGCCGTTTTTATACTGAATATGTCAGACGTGAATGGTGGAAAACGCTGAAAAACATTTACTTCATGTGAAATTTTGTATTTTTGATGAAGATACAAATCATTTATGTATCGGTCGAGTTTTTTTAATTAACATTGCAATGAGACGAAATCTATTCTTAAATTAGATGCCTTTTATATTCTTCTTAAAGTTGTCAGAATCAGAGACTTTTACTAATTGTAGCTAATTGTAAATCAGGAGGATAACTTATAGAACGTTAGTTTTGAAATTATGTGGTTAATTTTTTTAAACGTTCTTTATTGGATATGAATAGTACAATCTTGACTAATTGTGAATTTATTACTATTGCTGAATTGTACTTAATAGATATTAAGTAATACGTGTGCGGGTTTACTGAACCAGTGTCCAGCTCCCATAATTATATGAAATAAATTTTATAAAAACACCATTTATATGAGTTTTTAAGTAATTGCAGAGTATTATTTGATATATTATATCAAAGAATCACTTAATGAATCGATTGAACTACGAATTCAACATTAATATTAAATAATGTGAATAAAGTTTTACTTAATAGTAAAATAATATTACAAAATAACTTTTAAAATAAAAACCTTACTTTTCTTTCGAAAAGAAATTATCAATATATTCTTTATATACTAACCTATGATCATGTTCAATGTTGTGGTTTTACCGACTCCATTATGGCCCAGTAACACAGTAATTTGCTTATTTTTTATTGTCATATTCAAATGATCAGCAATCACTATATCTCGCCTGGGTGTTTGAAATTTTTTGCATAAATCTTGTATAATAATAGCGTCTGTTGTACCGTCAGTTGTAGTATAGACATTTCGATGTGGCTTCTTATAAAACGAACGCTAGATAAAACTTAATTTATTGTCAATTTTTAATCAAATAATACAATTTTGCATACCTTAAATATAAAATTATATGGTTTTTTAATACCTCCTTTGCCAGGAAACACACACGATAAATAGTTGTAAATGAGGGCGTAAAATAGACATTGCATTATTAAGAGAATATAAATGGAAATTATACTAAAAGATGAATCTGTTATGTTAGCAAAAAGATCATGCGCACTGAAGGATCGGTCTATTAACAAATAAAATTAAAAATTATTAATTTTAATATTTATATATACAAATTATGAATACAAACGTTTGTTAGTGAAAGTTTGAAATATTTTTATTCCATCCATAAACGCTTTTGTACTAAATAAGTAAGTAGCAAACGTGCCTTTGACCAAATAAAATATATACGGCATTACAAGTAGAATAAGGCCACCAACTTTAGCGTAGAAAACTGTAAATATGAACAGATATATACGTATATAAATTTGAAATAAATATGTAAATATTGTTTTGCTTATATTTCTTACCCGAATTAAAGCAGACTGATATTAAGTATGTGTAGGACATAGCCGATAACATGTAAAGCACAAAGAGTAATACAATGTAGCACATTGGCCCAATGCCTAAAGCATTGTAGATCCAAGCAGTTATAATAACTGCAGTGAAAAATATTAGATAAATTACCAAACGCAATACAAAGAATGTAACACCATTCAAGAAATTAAGAGGAGTTGCAAGAAGGAGAAATTCCTGAAATAAAAAAGGCAACATTATAAAAAATATATTATATTTGGTCTCCAATTATTTGGTACATCAAATATTGAATTCTTATGAAGAGATCCGTTGGGAATACTAAGAGTATATTTACAAAGCTCTATAGATTCCAATTGAAAAATTTGAAAAATTTTTTTCTAATCGAAAAAATTAGAACAAAATATATTCAGAAGCATATAGCTTTAGTAAACCTCTCAGCCAGAACACCTCTTTACTATAACGACGAAGCAGATTCGGTTAAATATTATTTTTAAAACTAATTGAAAGAATTATGTATTAAATTGCATGTACAAAAATATTTTAAACTAATTTGGTTTATACAACAGGTTTTGTTTTAAATGAAAAAAATGAATATTTTTGACTTCACCAAAAATTTCAATCTGTTAAGTTGGTAAGAGAGATTCAGCAGAGAGTCACACTAGCCAACAGATGTTACGTTAGGTTAAGTAGGCAATTCAAAATAAAGCACTCTCTCAACAAACACAAATCATGCTCTGCAAGTCTCTAATCATATCTGTTCTGCTGTATGATGCCGAAGTTTGAACAATTTCCAACAGTGATGGAAAGGGGTTAAAAGCATTCGAGAGAAAAATACTGCGGAAGATCTATGGTACCTAATGCGTTGGTAACGATAAAATAATGAGCTGTACGAGCTATACTGCGACATTAACATAGTTTAGCGCATAAAAATTCAGCTGATTTGCTGGCTTCATTTCATGCGAATTAAAGAAAGTGCTTTGGCTAGAAAGATTTTTGATTTGATATCCATTGATCAAAACCGCGGTAAAGGATGTCCGCATCTTCGGTAGAAGAACCAAGTGACCAGCGATATGAAGGTACTCAGTACACCATGCCGAATGTATGATAAACAACTACCGATCATTTTTCCCGCTTAAGTTTGGGTATTAACCGCAGCCATTACGATTCTGCTAACCGTCACTTGGCTAGGCCAAAGCTGCAGGCACCTGACACCCGTAGTAAATTCATTAGAATTTCCAATGGGGCGTTTATCGGCGCATTATATTGATACATTTATTTGTAGACACCGTGGTCTTAAGCCTTTATAGCAGGTACCCACACTAAACAACACTGTTACTATTACTGTATTCTGCTTGTGTAGTTTTTTTTTTTGAAAGTGCTAGTGCTAAACGACATGTGGCTTCGGGACGTTCGCAACCTAACTGTTCTAAGAATCTCAAATAACTGATTTTAATTTTAATTTATTAATCAAAGCGTGTGCAAAGGGTAGCACATCTTATCCCTACTTTACAATTGATTTTTTGTTTTCTATATAAGAAAAGCTATAAAAGTTTATTTAATAAAGAAACTAAATGAAACATGCATACAACACTTCATTCCTTTTGAACTCAATAATGAAAATGATAATTTTTCTTGTAATCTTGAACACCGGTAAGAATACCCCATCGGAAAAAGATCATTATTAAAGTATCAAAAGCCTAAAAATACATACTTAAAAACTAAAGCTATTAAGAACAGATCTAATCTGTTCGCAGTGCATCTTGGTTTTTAACAATAATATAATTGTTAAAATTATAGAATATAATCTATAATTCATTAACTGTTACTGTTTTAAATATATAGCTCTTATAAATTACTCTAAATTTATTCTAATACATAGAGTAAAAAAAATGTTTGAAATAATAACATACCTTTAATCCATCCTGTTTCTCTTCAACAAGAGGCACTAAAAACGTACTAAGCAGAAGCACACTGAAAAGTATACTAAAAAGTGAACCGAATAGAATAAGGCGTTGTGAGTCCAGTACTTCTTGAGCAATGGTTGGTATTGAAGATAATTCCATTTCATAGTTTAAATTATTTGTTGTGCTACGTTTTCTTATATAATTTTTGTCAATAATATGTTGTAAGGTGAGAAATCCACTTCGTATATAATCATCATCATCTAAAAAATTGATTAAGAGAAAATAATAGAGTTATTTTCAGTTTCGATTATTTTATATTAAATATATATATATAAATAATATATATTCATATTATTTTAAATACAAATAAATATATTTATAATAATAAAAGATAATGATTTAATGACTTTTTGGTAAAAACAGAGAAAATATATTTATGTAAGTATATGTACAGTGTATGTTTTTTATACCTAAGCAAAAGTGTATTAAATTACGTTTATTTTTATTTTTATATGACTCTACACATATATATGCTCATGTATGGACTTAATAGTACAAACAGTCATACAAATTTGTTAATGGTCTACGATATTATTTTTCATACTGCAGATGGCAAACAAAATAAAAAATGCTGCATTAGCGAATATGCAGAAAAAGCAAACAATAGCGTACAATAGCAAACAGCGATAAAATTAGATTTTTGCAATTTAAGGTATGAATATTTAAATACAATATATGAAACTAAATCCCCTCACGTGTGAGTAAAATTATCTGTTATTCTTTTTTTGCAGACAATATTTAGTTATATTGCTCGCAAAAGTAACGAAATGCAAATACACACATTTCGTGTGAATTGAAAGCATTATTTCTGCCTTGACATAATTAATAGCAAAACCTTATGAATATTAGGAAATTTGCTAGTGGTAAGTAAAATTCTACTGCTTTTGTTTAAATAAATACCACTGAAAAAAATTATCAGCAACCGCTAAAAGAACGTTTTTTCTAATCAGTGTTAATTATATTTACTCAATTCAATATGGTTTGTTTTCGTTAGAAATTTGATAACGTATATCAACAAAATTCTAATTAGAACAAATCAAAAGCGTTCTGAGAACACTTTATTTTTAACAATTTTCTTTTACCTTTAATTCCACTCACTTCTTCATCATTAACATAACGTTTCTTTGGTGATATTTTTAGTGCTGTTGAACTAATGGAATAACTTAAATTTCCATTGACATCGTCACTAATTGTTTTAAATTCTATTGCGAAGCAGTTTCCTTTACATTCCTCCTCTAGTTTAACCCTAAATTCCGATGCATTTGCAATTGGCTTCACAACTGTTAAATAATATGTTTTAATCACTATTCTAAAAAATTTCAATATATGTTATAAATACTTTCATATGAAATTTCCATCTGCTGCCGTACGTCTTCCATAAGGTCGTCAATAAATGGTGTTGTTGGCGAATAATAAAGAAAGTCACCATCATTAGCGTGAAAGTAGTCAGCAACAAGCGATTCCTATAAGAAAACAAATCAATAAAGTTGTAATCGTCACGAAATATATATTAAAGTTGATATTTTCAAGATATGTATTGGAAAATGTATTAGAAAAACAATCTTACTGTGTTCTTCGCAGAATATATGATATTGGGCGTATTTAGATTCTGATACGTCGATTTTAAATAAAGCACCAATATACCATAGCATCCAACTAATATAACAGCTAACGACACGCAATTAAATATTAAAAATAATACATTTTTCCACAAAAAAACGCGAAATAACGACCAAAATTTCATTTTTTATTTAAAATGTATTTCCCTAACCACTTTATTTCTGTCATCAGATAAAAAGCAAACAATACTACAAAGACCTCAACAATCTCGCTAATTTTCCCTGCGAAATAAGCAAAACACAGTGTCGCATTCAAAGTTAATTTTTGTTAAAAGTAGACATAAAACACTAACTAAGCGGAGCAAATGAATTTATGATATTTAGATACTAAGGGCGTGTGCGAGTTCGAGTAAATTGAGGTAAAGTAAATTGAAATTTCCTAGAGAATTTTTACACTGCACTTATGTAAATAATTATTTATTTATTTATTGCACTTATTTTTTATTTTTGATTTAAAAAAAATTTTCACAGTGGTAACACCTAATTTGCTGCCATACCAACATAATTTACTATTTCCCTCAATTTACCATCAATATACTCGAACTCGCTCACAGCCTTAGATACTGTATATTCTGCATTAAAAGAAGCCAATATATATTTTTCTCACATTTGCAATGCCCCAAAATGTATATAATAATTAGAATTTCTATATAAAGCATTTTAATACTACAACGTAGATATATATTCGAAGAAAAAATGGATTCATTAGAAATTATTAACAATTGCAATCATTTATTTATTATACAATAAAAAAAATGCTAGCATTATGCTATTTTTGCTAATTGTCAGAACATGACACTTGATAGGTTGCAACAGTGATACCAATGCCACTCGGAACGAATATAGACCAGCATGCGAGCCACCGAAAAGGCCTACTATAATAGTTTACGTACACTGTTATATGCACACACTTAATGTGAAATATTTATGAAAATTTATTTATCAGCTGTAAAGCTGTCAATAAATTATGCAGCACAAAATCAATGCTCAGCTACTCAAATGCTCAGCTGTAAAACTATAAAGTAAAATCGAAACTTAAAAATATATAAAAAGATATTTGTAAAATTTTTTTATTTTAATCTTAGTTCTTCCATTGTTTTATAAAATTTGGGAATATACACGCACAATCAGCTGTTGTTATTCGGTGAAATTGTCATCTAAATTTATTTAGTTTGTATAAACGAATTTTCATACAAAATTTGACACTTCATTTACCAAGCTAATAAATTTATACGTTTACACGGCATTAAGCAGTTTAAATGAGTACCCCTAATATTTCAGTTCAAAATATTTTAATATTATGAGGTATATATAAACAGAAAATAGATTAACAAGGAACTACTTTATAACATCAATTTATAAAAATATTTATCACTGTCTTCATATCCAGATTCCATAACTACGTCTTTAATGTAGAAACAAATATAATTTTGAGATCTTGTAAAATTTTATTAATATAATATTGAAAGATTTCACTTGTTTTACTGAATTCGAACAGTGATCTAGGGCTAGATAGCGATCTGGAATGGAGTGTACATTTAAATATTGATAACCACTGAATAGTCTTTAAGTTTAATAGGGCTCCTTTCTTTTCTATAATTTTTATGTGTACTATGAAAAAAATGTAGAGCGTATGATCTGATACTCATATCTTGTTATAATCTAGCCAGTGTAAAGGCAGTGTAAAACAATATATTACGCTGACGTAAAAATTAGCAAATTATTAAAATGTACTTTAGTACTTTTTATAATATGGAATATTGATGACATGGTCACCCAGTTTCAGTGTCATTCTATGACTATTTTGCTCAATAACATTTTTTGTTATTTCTTTGAAAAGAAAAGCATTTAAACGAAGAAAGTGTGGAATAAATAATTTGATTTTTACATACAAAAGTGTACCAATATTAATTGATAATTATGTCAACATTTTATAGTTTGGACATCAATCGCACTGAATGGGAAATTCCTGTTACATATCAACAACTTCAACCTGTGGGATCTGGTGCTTATGGGCAAGTGTGTAAAGCTCTAGTGGGAAATTCTGGGAATAAAGTTGCTATTAAGAAATTAGCACGACCGTTTCAATCTGCAGTGCATGCAAAACGCACATATCGCGAGATACGTTTACTAAAACACATGGATCATGATAATGTTATTGGATTATTAGATTGTTTTCATCCTGGACAACCACCTAGCTCATTAGAGAACTTTCAACAAGTTTACCTTGTAACGCATTTAATGGATGCTGATTTAAATAACATAATACGAACACAAAAACTATCTGATGATCATGTACAATTTTTGGTGTATCAAATACTACGCGGACTTAAATACATACACAGTGCTGGTATAATTCATCGCGATTTGAAACCTTCTAATATAGGTGTTAATAAAGATTGTGAACTACGTATATTAGATTTTGGTTTAGCCAGACCTGCTGAAAGTGAAATGACTGGTTATGTGGCGACGCGTTGGTACCGTGCACCTGAAATAATGCTTAATTGGATGCACTACAATCAAACTGTAGACATATGGTCTGTTGGTTGCATTATGGCTGAATTACTAACTGGGCGAACACTTTTCCCTGGAACTGATCACATACATCAACTTAACTTAATAATAGAATTACTTGGCACGCCAGATGATGATTTCATGCAAAAGATATCGTCAGAAAGCGCCCGCAACTATATACGATCACTACCACATACGGTAAGACGAAACTTTATAGATGTATTTCGAGGTGCAAATCCGCTGGCTATAGGTCTACTTGAAAAAATGCTTGAACTTGATGCAGAAAAACGCATTACAGCCGAACAAGCGTTGGCACACCCATATATGGAAACGTATCACGATCTTAGTGATGAGCAAACATCACCACTGTATGATCAAAGTTTTGAGGATATGGATTTGCCTGTTGATAAATGGACACAATTAGTTTTTACCGAAGTACTAAGCTTTAAACCACCACAAGCCTTTGCTGAAATTCTACAACAAAGTAATTAATCTTACGATGGTACTCATTTATATTGGTTGTTTGAACATTTGTAGGTAAAAATTATACATATGTATGACATGTATGATAAAATTTAGTAATATAAAATAAAATAAGTATAAAATAAAAAAATAAAACACAAATGCTTATAAATAATATGGCTATATACACACTTATATAAAGATGTGTTTTGATATATAAGAAATATTGATTAATACCAAATAGATTATTCAGATTAACGTACTTAAATTTCATAAGCATTATAAATAAAATAATTTAAGTTTTTTTTAAATTACTAACAATTTAGAGGTTTTTGGCTTTAAATTTATAAACAAAATGTAACGAATATTTTTAATGCTATTTTTGTACACTTATGCTTTTTATATTAATATTAATATCAGTTAAGCGAATAAAATCCACGAAATTGTTTCCCTCTGGATTCTAAATCTAAGAAGTATGTTAAACAATTCTGTTAGATTAAAATTTTAAAAAGTGCTATTAAATATGTATGTGAAGAAAAAATAAACAAAATTATGTACATTATTTAATGGATAATTTTTTAAACTGTATGTAAATTACTCATTCTTATGTAATAAGAAATTAATACTAAATTAATAAGAAAACTACTTAACATTACAATATTTTAATGGTTATATGAATTAAAATCCGAATAGTTTAGTATAATAAAATTATACTTGCTTTAGTATTAGCGCGCCTTTAAATTTATAATTTATAAAAATATTTCTATTTTTAAATAAACTATAATAAAATAAATTATGCTAATAAAACACTTATTACAAATAAAAAAAACGTATTTTATTGTTGGAAATTCAGATTTTATTGTTTATTCAAACAATATTTATCTATTTATGATCAGCTCCAATATGTAACATATAAAATTGGTATGTTAACAAATTGATATTTAATTTGATTTGTTTGCACTGTTTTCAATAGTGATTTACATTCTGAAACAATGCATTAGGGATTTATACCAACCTAAGCACATTGGAAAAGGGCAAGTAATGACCAGTTTCTCGTTAAAATTCTACTATTGTACTTAATAATTGTGATTTGCCAGACAAATGTACTACCATGACAAAACCTTTCATCATAGGAACGTTGTATATAATTTCGTAAACTAAAAGTTTTACATTAATTTATATTACTTTATTTATAATATATTTTTTATGCTTTTCCACGAATACAAAAAAATTTTATTAATTTCACATTTAATCGGAAGAAAAAATGAATCTAAACAGCGCTTTGAGAAATAAAAATGTACTGAATATATTGAAAGGTGAATTAAATGTTGAAGCAACAGAAGAATATATAAGACTTTGCTTTAAAATATATTCGATCGAGGTATTACATAAAATCCAAAATTAATTATTCAAAAGTATTATTGAATAATATTAATATTAAAATTAATATCAAACTATTAAATTTAAGAATGTACAATTGAAAAAAGTTCAATCCAATTTATATAATATCAAGGGTTTATTATTGTAATAATATTAGTGGTTTATATATAATATACACTTCTGTCAATTTATAAACTTCAATAACACAGACTTGAGACGAACTAAATTTATCCAGAAATAATATAATTCAATGCATTAAAATCGAAATCAGCATTTAACTTTCTGTTGGAAGAATTTATGAACAAAAAATATTTAATTAAATGAGAATTATAATACGAATTATTGTACATTGAACATTGTAAATTGTACATTAATAAATTTTTAATAACTTAAAAATAATAAAAGACACATTAATAAATATTACTAAATTCAATTTACTTTAACAAAAAAGTTATTCGTTGAAAATATGGGTATAACATATGTATGTGCTTTAATATGTGCATCTAAAGTTGGTCATTGAAAGTAGTTGACATATTGAATGTAATAATAAATCTAAAAGAAAATTTGTATATAATAAAATAAAACAAAATAATTTTTCATTTATAAAAATAAACTTAACAGCTCTTATAAATAATGCACATTAATTAAATTGTTAATTATCAGTTTTAATTAGTTTTACAAGCAAATTCATATATTATTTAAAATATCAAATAAATAATAGTTTTACAATCAAATTTATATATTCTTTTAAATATCAATTTAAGCAATATTACTCATAGCGTTTGTATAATAGTCCTTATAAATAATACACATTAATAAAATTGTTGATTATCAGTTTTACTTTATTTTACAAGCTAATTTATGTATTCTTCAAAATACCAATTAAGCAATAGTTTTACAATCAAATTCATATATTCTTTAAAATATCAATTTAAATAATACTACTTGTTACGTTTGTATAATAGTTCTTATAAACAATGTGCATTAATGAAGTTGTTAATTATCAATTTCATTTAATTTTAGAAACAAATTCATATATTATTTAAAATATCAGACAATAGTTTTACAATTAAATATATATATTTTTTAAAACACCAATTAAAAAAATTCTTCTTATTACGTGTGTATAATAATACTTATAAACGTTGCACATTAAAAACATCAAAATAAATAAAAAAACATCAAAATGTTAAATTTTTGTGGTCATAAAAATATTAAACAAAACACTTATAACAGAATTTTCAGGTCTTCGTAATAACATATTTTCGATCTATGTTTCAAATGAAATTGAAAAATCAATTACATCAAAGTTTTGTTGAATAATATTAACAAATTGATATTGTAATGATTGTTTAATTTTTTTTATGTTTTTATTTCATTTTCAATGTTTTATTTCTGTTTATAAATCAATATCTTGTACCGAAGTGTGATTATGTATGTTTGGTTTAGCTGCTCTAAATGCAACCAAATCCGCTTCTGTGTTTTGTGCTACAGAATCCTTAACCTTCTGATGAAACAAGCCATCTGTCACCACACATCTGTGTCGTCACTTATAACATTTTCGCCAAGGGTTAATTTCGTAAATGCTTCAACACTTATTAATAACCCAGTGCCACTAGGGTTGATGTGATTAATAATGCAGAAATCGACTCGCAAGTTATACAGAGGTTTGATCAATGAAACGATTTGCAGGTGTAGTTTTTTCTTCTGTCTACCAATAATTGACCGATTAAAAGAGCGTTATATAATTATGACATGCGGTCCTTGAATTCAGCTCGTATCAGTATTGTCAACACTATTCGTAATGCTCATACAATCATACAATTTTACTTATTGCTCCGATAAATGCCTTAAGATGATTTTTGTAACTAACGTACACTTTTTTAAGAATGATACAGAGCGAATCAAGTAAAAGGGTGAAAAGCATTACTTTCAGGATTCAAATTTTAATTTTGTCACGACATTTAGTTATATTCTCATAATTGTTTTGAAAAAGGTAGTTTTACAACTCTTCCGTAAGGGTTTCATCAGCTGTTATGTGTCATCAGCTGATATTTCTGACTACTGTGTCTGTCGCTACATTGGCTGGTAAAGGGTCTATTAATGTTTTAACAGGATGAAAAACTGAGGTCGAAAAAAATATCAGAAACTAATATATGTCTATAAGATTAATTGCTATTACATAATGGTTAATTTACAAAACTTTTATTGTTTTTACTATTACTATCTACATAACCATACCATTTAAATTTATTAGTTTTTTTTATTGGATATGTGTGCAACACTTTTTTAATTTTTAACACTTTTATAGTAAATCAAATAAATTAACTACAGTTTAGAATATCATATCTTCCAAAAAACGTTCAAATTCAGTTACAAGTGAAGGTTCTTCTAAAATTTCTAGTTTTTTAGACCAAATTTCGTTTCCACTGTCGTTTTCTTCATCCTTTTTGGTTTCCAAATTTGTGTTCTCAACGGTCGCTGAAGTCTTAACACTATGATTTTCTTCATTGATATCATGGTGCCTAACTTTGTGTGATTTAAAGTTCTCATTGTCATGTTTTGAGTTATCTTTGGATTTCTTTTTTTTCTTTTTATGTGATTCGGTACGCTTAAATCGTTTTATTTCTCGCTTTCGCGTTGTGTAATTAAGTTGTGTTGAGTGCTGAGGACACAGGCGAATCTTAATCAATGTGTTTTTCTTCTCACCTCTTTCCAAGTAAGCAAAGTTTACTTCCCAAGTACGCAATTCTGTACGTTCCTCACATTTTACACAGGCGCATTGAAATTGACCCTTTCCAGATATTACCTCAGACTCTGTACGCCAACGCAAACCAATTTTATTATTTTTATAATACGTTAAATCACCAATACAATATTCTTTAAATAATTTGTTGTAATATTTTCGCACCAGTCGCTCTTCCCATGATTGCGGTTTAGACTCGTCATCCCATAGAAAACGGTGACCCTCTCGAATTATATCGATATCACGTTTTTGATTTGAAGTTTGACTATTAAGAATATATTTTTTTAATACATAATCATGTCTTTGTTGATCAGTATAAGTTCTAAGCGTATTCAACATCCTAAGATTTAATTTATCTGTCCAATTTGTTTATATTGACAATTTCGCAACCAGTGTTCATTAGTGCAATATTTTCAACAACGTAAGAAAACTGTATGAAACGTAAGCTTAGTATATATTAGGTCTGTTCCACGAGCTACTCATAGTGAAATATGAGTAAAACAGAAGAAAATTTACACAAAAATACTTGAAAATTTGCTGGTGGAACGCGCTTGTGTATACACAGTGTTTACTCAAAGTTACTATGAGTAGCTCGTGAAACAGACCTATTATGTTATAGTGAGTTCAAATTTTTACGTTCTCACCAAAGAAGAAGTCTTCTTTTGAGAGTAAAATCTAACTCTGAAGATTTTAAGAACATTGTTGGTGCTTCACACGTTTTCTTTGGTAAGTTGCGAGTATTTTTTTTGCTACTCTGAAAGAAAAAATTACAGCTATTATTTCAAATAACACTGAAACACTGGAATACGTTCTAGTTATTGAACAAGAATAGCCACCTTACCCCATATGCAGATTATCTGCACATAATTTTTGCGTGGGATATTATGTTCTAGGATAATAAATATGACTAATTATTTAAATAAAATATGCACTTCTTACCAATTTTAAGCAAAACTTTGCAGATATCAGTATTTGAATATATCTAGAAAATTTTCATATATTAAAATTTAATAAAAATGTGACTGTATTTCAAGTGTCTATTTGATGTTGTCTTTTTGTAACATACTCATAAAATATAGGGACTAATATAGTTATAAATTTATCAATCTGAAATCAGTGTTAATCTAATTTAAATTACTTTGGTTTAATTTTAACTGTTATCATAATCATAAAAATTTAATCAGGGTTTTTTGTTTTTCCTCGATTTTTTCAAAAAACTTTGTAAAATATTATTAAAAAATTAATTTTTTCTAAAATTTGTTTTAAATTCACGTGTAATGGCTTTCAACAAGTCTATAACTTTGTAAATTCACCAGAGTTTCTATTTGCCCACTAATGAGCAGCTCAAACTCATGATCAAGATCCAATTATGACATGAGTACAAAATTTGTTTATGAGCATGAACACATATTTTGCTCATATTGATGTGCTCATTAACGTGATCCTTCAATTTGTTTATATTAAAGAGCTCATGAGATCTCAGAAGCCGAGAGCTCAACTAAAAAGCCAGCATACTGACAATAGTTTTTCATTACATATAAGATATGTAAAATTTATTACACTTATATTTTCAATTCTAAGCAAACTGCTTTACACACTCATGTAAAACTGTGAAATATTTTTATTTTTTAATTCTGCGAAACACATTATAATAAGTTTGTTTCAAGAGTAAAGTACAAACTTAGACCGTAACACAAATAAAGTGCCAAATTATTCACTTTACACAGATTTTCATGGAACAGTTTTGTGTAAAATCTAGTGAAAACACCAGTGCCGCGCAAATAAACAACACAAAAATTTAAATTCAAACCAAAACAGCTGATTCACATATCAACACAAATTTTATTTGAAATAATAGATCTGTTCCACGAGCTACTCATAGTAACTTTGAGTAAACACTGTGTATACACAAGCGCGTTCCACCAGCAAATTTTCAAGTATTTTTGTGTAAATTTTACTTCTGTTTTACTCATGTTTTACTATGAGTAGCTCGTGGAACAGACCTAAAGTGTACGAGTAAAGTCTGTGTAGCCAAAGACAATTTAAATACTCATTGGTGTAGTATTTTCAAATTTCGACAGGCATATTACGCTCTTTCTCATGCTCTCATTTAGTCGAAAATTTGCTGGTGGAACGCACTTGTATATTACGTACTTTCTACAGTTCTAATATAGTTAATATAAAACGACAAATTAAGTAAACACACAAATTTGTCACGTGCCAAATTGGACAACGAAAACCATAACCATTCACAACAGCACAATTGTATAGTGATATTGTAAATAGTTTTTATAAATCAATATAAAACAAAATGAAATATTATTGCGTTTATTATTTTTGTATACGAGTGGAACTACAAAAACAAAAATGACAATCAAAATTAAAATAAAATCATGATATGTTGTGTTAGCGAAGTGTTAACAGAATAACAGAATATTTTTCGTGTTAACAGAATATAACAGAATTGAATGTAAAACGAGAAAAATTTGCATAATTTTAATTTATTAAACAAAATTGGCTCTTACATATTGTATTTACTTACATATTGAATATATTTGTACATATGTTGACCGTATGCTAGTTCGAGTAAATTGGTGGTAAATTGAGGGAAATAGTAAATTATGTCGGTATGGGAGCGAATGTTGGTATTTACCAGAATTTCGAGTAAAGTGAATTTCATAAAAATTTTATAAGATGTTTAATAAATAAATTAATAAATTTGAAAACTTTTAATCAAAAATAATAGATAATTGCAATAAATAAATATTTACATTAGTGTAGTGCAAAAAATCTCTAGGAAATTTCAATTTACTTTATCTCATTCAATATTAACGTGATGCACGTAAAAGAACATGTGTTATGAAACTACGAATGTTACGTTTTTACGTTGTTACGTTAGTACAGTTTTTGTGTTGAAGAGTACATTTTCGGGCAGCCCTCTTTTGTTTTCCTTTGCGTTTGAACATTAGATTGGCAACTGTAAAAGATGTTTGGAAATTTTAATGATTGTCTTGCATGTCATTTCTAATTGGACAATTGAGTAGATTTCTCGTGTCGCGGGTCTTGTTTGTGTGGGTTTCTCGTTTGAACGTGTTTAGTGAAATACGCAAAAATTTTTTTTAATACTAACAGTTGTATAAAAATAGAAAGAGTAAAATAATTGTAAAGATAATAATAACATGATGGAACATATTCAGTAAATTCGAATTCACTTAAAGACAATTGTACGAATAACAAATAAAATATCGTTTAGTTATCTTATGTGAGCTTCATGTACTGTTTTGCGCTATTTGGATTTGAATGCGGGGTACTTACACTTGGCGGCTTACCGCTAAGTAGAATAGACATCAGTCATTGCAGTTAGCAAGAATTGTCAATTTCGTTTCATATAACTTCAAATTTTAATTTAATTTTTTTTTTAACAAATGTTTTCGATTGTTATGTTTGTAAATATAAAAACGGAAAGCAAACGGAATATATTTTTTATTTGAGTGGGGGACGCAACAAATAGTTATTTGGCAAATCTTCAAGGCTAGCAAGTTGTGCCTTAGTTTCTTGCGTTACTGCTGCGTTTAAGAACAAAGTATAACTTTAGTTTGAAGCCAAGCAGCAAATCATAAGCCTGCTCTTCGGGTATATTGGAATTATCATATACAGTTACCTTGCCTCGCCGAAGTCAGTGCGGCGCCTCTACAACCATGGCAGCAGCAGCGGCTACGAGTGTCGTGGTATTGGATCGCGGCAACAACACAACCTGCACGATAAATCTGCATGGTGAGCTTTTTAACAATTAATCATAATTAATGAACATTTTGCAAATTTTAAATTAACTTTTTTCTTTTGCTTTAGAGTGGTTTTTTATTTTTTGTGTTCGCTTCTACTTTTATGTTTTTGTAGTATTTAATTATAAATTAATTTTTTTATCAAATTGCGGGAAAGGCCTTTTGTTAGTACAATGCTTACAAAGTGTTAATAGTCTGCCGCTAACGCTTGTTAGTTAACAAACAAATCGAATTGAGTTGCGCTATTTATTTCGACCAAATAGCCAAATGGTGAAATATCAAAGAACCAAATGGTGAATGGGATATTCTCAATTGTGTAGCTTAGATCACATTATTTATAATTATATTATTCATTTTATTTATATGTATAAATGAAATATAATATATTTATGATTATTGCAGCCATTCTATTTGCAATTACATTTTATTTTTCTACCTATAATACACATAATATTAATATATCCTAAAATATATGTATGAGTTCTAACTCGCTAGGTACTAAGTCTATTTTTTTTTCTCTCTCCCCTGTTTACTGGAATAAAGTTTTCACAATGCTGTGGAAATCTTCTCCATTCATTCTTAAGAAGTGATTTAGTGGATTCAAGTCTTTGTATGAGTTGAGATATATATAGTATTTTACATTATTTATGATTATATTATTCATTTTATTTATATGTATAAATAAAATTTATATAATAATAATTATTGCAGCTACTCTATTTGTAATTATATTTAATTTTTTTATCTATAATACACTTATTATAAATATATCCCAAGATATATGTTTTGAGATATATAATATAATGAAGGAGATTTTCCAAAATCTCTAAATAGTCAAATTTCCATAACAAATACCATTTTGCAAAAAAAAGGTTCGACTTATAGAGAGAGACTTCAAGTTAGAAAATATTTTTATTTTATATTTAAACTAAACTAGAATCACATTTTAAGATATTTATTTATTTATTTATATCAAATACAAATATAAAAATAAAATATTCAAAAATTAGGGTTTGGGATTTCAATTTTTTTCTTCTTATTTTTAATAAAAAGAGATTCCCATTTATTTAAAGCCTTATAGTGATCATCAGTTATAGTATCATTCATTTGCAAAAATAAAAAAATTAAGAATTTTGAATAAGTCCTCTACTTTATTCTTGGAACGCTGATTAACAATTTCATCCGAACCCTCACTTTTCGTTGTACTTAGAATTGGATCCACTCTAATGAGATATATACAAAGCTATAATGCTCAATAATATCGTCATCTGTAGGAAAGCTTGATGAACAAATTTCATTGTCAAGGTCAATATAATATAATTGTTAAGAGTAACATTGAAAGTTATTTTATTTACTTTATTTTTACTTTACTTTTACATCAATTCACGGTCTTCATCAATGTTATTCAAGAAAACTAAAAGAATGTCATCCTGTTCGTCCTATGTTAAAAATTTGCCAAATCCAGTTTTTTTAAAGCAGTCCGCTATCGTTTGAGTAACAATATCTCAATATATCAAGCTTTTGCTACATGATTTATAGAATCCATACTTCTATACGCTTTAGTGCTTACTCCCTGATCAAACAGTTCAATTTAGAGGTCATATTCAGCGGAAGAAATGCCAATTCTATGAACTTGCTCAAAAGCCAGCTACTGGCATTTAGACAAAGGAGCAGTATAAAAAGAAAAAATTAAACATTTGGTTTGGTAAAAGGGACTTTTTCTAACATCAAAAGGATTCATACTTAAAATAAAAGTTCGACTTTCCCATTTATAGAGAAATTCGAGTTATAGAAGTTCGAGTTATATGAGTTTGACTTATTTTATTGAAAATCTAGCTTAACAAATCAATCCATCCATAATTGATTGTCTGTTGTTGTTATTGTAGCCCGCAAGGATCTATAAAGCAGATAACATGAAAGCGGGGGATAGTTGTGGATAGGTATTGGTAGTGTGTGACTAAAGGGGATTTTTTAGAAGTGAGAATGGATTATGGGATGGGTAAAATGTAAGCTTATCTGTGTCTATAACTGTTGTGTTGTTAGAAATAACTGAGACTAAAAATAGATGAATTATAAATAACACATAGAATTATATTTCTGGGAACGGTATCGTTGAATATTTTCATAGAAATAAATCATAGAAAAAAATTTCTTAAAGTAAATTTAGAGAAACATTCCATCCTATTCCAAAACCATAAGGTTAAGGTTCAACAGTTACCTTAAAAATAAACTATTTATGAAAGTACTTAAAACTGCAAATGTTCTATATTATGGGAAATATGTAGTTAATAGCAATCAAATAAGTGGATTCCACAGGTTTCAAGAATGGCCGGGTCTACATACCGGAGCCATTCGTCGACCTCGAAGATCAAGGGCCGTTCAACACTTCCCAAATAAACTACATAAGCAGGTCTCAGTGGGTTACTCTACAACAACAACATTTAAATGTAACTAGTACATTAAAATAGTACTAAGTAATTTCAGAAACATCAATTAATGTTTTTATTTTGTCGCTGTTACCATTAATTGACGTTCTAGAACATGATGCTACTTCAATATTTTTGCAGTAAATTGAAGTATCCGATTAATCGGATAGTAAACAAAGTCTCCGGAGAGGAAAATAAAATCGGATGTTTTTGTAAATCCGGAGTCTTCCAAGTTTCCGGAGTATGTATACAGACCAATCTGATTGTTAAAATGATTGTTCTACTTGATTTTTAAACGATCTTTAACGATTCCAGAGCCTGTATTACATGTTAAAAAAATTATATTTGAAGATCATTCTTAGCTTCCCAGTACTTTTGCATTTATTGCAATCTACAATTTCTCTTGAACATTTGTTTTGGATACTCGTAAACCCACAAATAATAACATAAATAATGCTCGAACGTAAGTCTTTGCGTTTGATATTCTAAACATTATTTAATAAAAAAATACTTGCTTACAGAATAGTTACTATAATGGAACTCTGTTATATTGAAAATAATACCTACTAAAATAGATCCTTTATTGCTGGGGGAAAAAAAATAAACAAAAACGTTCTAATTTATTTTCACTGACTTAATTAATTTAATAATTGAGCATTTTTTTTTAGATGAATTTTTAAATACAATAAGCTCTTTAATTTACATATATCAACAGCTATTAGTAATACTTTATCTCAGTTAATTATTTATTCTTGCATTAAAAAAACTTTTTATTGTATCTTGAGTCTAATAACCTATCAAGTGTTCAGTCAGAGAAAATTTAGTAAAGCGATTGCACATCTATTCCAACTAAATTTATCTTTTTAAAACCAATTTTTAAAATAAATCATTTTTTAAAAAGTGGAATACACATAAGAAATAATTATTGTCATTGCTAAACATTGATAGCAACCATAGATTAATATTTACATTCTCCCAAGAAGGATTGACAATTAACTATCTTCTCAAAAGTAATTAAGTAAGTGATATTCGATACCATTTTATCTTAATACCGCGCGAGACTGAGAGGAAAACTAATATGTATAATATAAATAAAATCTGTGAGATAATAAAAAAATTAATTAAATAATAAAGTATCAGGAATTAACACCTGGAAATTATAAGAGATATATTCCGGTTTTTAAACATAAATATGGGGAAGTGAGTTCATACAAAAAATAGTTGAAAAATTGGAGTAATTTGGACAAAAGCTTTATAAGCGAGAAACTCATATATTGGAATTAAGGAGAAAACTTTGTCTTAACAAAGTGCTTAACTTTTAAAGCTGAGAAAGTTCTTAGAGAAAAATGTTGGGACTCATGCCCAAATCGCTCTTCAACCGATCAAAACGTCGTGCTAAAACAAATGTTATAAATGTGGAGTTGATATTTACTATATATATTGTTTGCCGATTTCTAACAAGTTATCGAAGAGCGTCAACTGAAGTAAAATTCTTGCTGCGTTTGTGACCCTCAGTATCAGCTGTAAACTGGCCGTGCTAACTATAACAATAGAAAGTACATGCTAATTTCTTCTAATTAGTAACGTAGATCATTTAATATAAAAATTGGTTAATATTTATTTTAACATGCTTACAATATATAGTATATCTGACTGCATGTATAATAGCAAGAAATAGGTTGTACTTTACATATCTCAACGTTTTTAATTCAGAACTGTTGTCTTGAAAAATCAAACTCAACGTATATAACATAATTGTTGGACCAACAATCACATATAGCTGTAAAGCTTGAACCAGAATTTAACTCAATTAGAATTTATTGAAATAGGCATGTAGCGAGATAAAACCTATCCATAAGAAACAAAATGCTAATCACACGATAAAAGCTTCTTCCAGGAAAGCGTTGTATTTATGGAGAACGGAGCATGATGTTAAACATTACAGTTGAAAAATCGTTACTCAATTAACATTACTCAATTGTTCATAAAAAACAATCTTACTATAAATTTAAATAAATAAATAATTTGCAACATAAATAAATTTCTTTAACTAGAACGTATAACTTATTTACTTATTTTAGTCATAATAACCCGTTATTGGGTTTCGGCCTAACGCGGCATGTCTCTGCAGGCACCTCTGCTGCGTGCGTACCTGTTCTCGTATCGTACATCAAATTCGGTTAGTGCTCCCTCAACTTGATTACTCCACCGAAAACACGGTCTACTTTCACGTCTTCTTTCTCCAGCTACTGCTTCAAATACGCTTTTCGCTGGAGCGTCTTCATTCAATCTCACGAGATGACCAAACAAGCGAAGCTGTTGGATGTTAATTCGCTAAATTATATCAATATCGTGATAAAGCTGATACAACTCGTTATATATTCGTATGCGGTAGTCGTTGCTAACTTGTAGAGGACCAAGGATCTTACGAAGAACTTTTCTCTCATACACGCCCAGTAGTACTTCATCATTCTGTGATAATGTTTATGCTTCTGTGCCATACACAAGAAGAGCGTAAGTTTTTTTTATCGAGAGAGAGAGAGAGAGAGAGAGAGCTCTACATCCC